TTAAAGTACTGTAAACCTTCCACAAGCTCCAGCAACATGTGCCATGCAAGAGCCTTGTTACTAACTGGTCACAGGGGAGTTCCCCATCTTTCAAACCATGTCACAAAAACATGTTTTCGTCCTCTTATAACCTCCCTACACACGTGAACAACGTCCAGAAATTAAACCGGTTGGGAAGTCCATAGTTTCCCCCACTCAAATGGCTAAAATAATATATATTGTCTTACAAACAAATAACCTCACTCACATAAAGTTATACGCGATCTTAGTAGAGCTGCGATCATTTCTTTGGGTCTTTACTCTCTATTCTTGGTTTGATTATATACCGGAACCTATTATCATGGATGTTCTTTCTACTACAGTCTTCCCATCTCTACATCTCTCATCGCTACACCTACTCCTTGAGGTTGGGCTGCATGGTAACAACATAGTTCCTTCTTCCCCATGCTTAATTTGGTTTCAAGTGTTGTTTAACTAGAAGTGTGTGTTGGGTGCGGTGTAGAGTTAATCTGAAAAGGGTGACAGCGCAACAGGAACAAAAACAATGGTAGGCGTACCACAACAGTGGCTTGATCACGCGCTGACGCTTGCAGGGAGGCTATGGCGGGTTGACAGGGGTTTGGGTCTCAATCTTATCCTGCGTAGGGAACGAGAGGCATTCCTTGCGGGCAGGAGAGTCCCAGGTTTCGGGGGTGGGGGTGGGGTGAGTGCACGAGGGGTGTGGATCGAACTGTTTTTAGGTGGGGAGTCTAGAGCATGCATATTATGGGTTGGTGTCTAGGTGTGGGGGATTTGTGTGAGGATATATGAACGGTATACTCTCTTGTTGGGCGTTGTGAGAGCGTGTCCTTTGCCGTACTAGTTAAAGCGAATAGAAAATGGAGGATCTGTATCTCCCCCGCAGCCCAACCCCACTGGGTGTTGTGTGGGGCACCACGCTGTGTATGTGTGTGTGTTGTCAACAGAGGTATAGACGGGCACGCCCAGCTGGTGGTGTGGTAGTGTTGGCATAAGCACACAGCTGTGTGTAGTGGTGTGTAGTGGAACAGAGTAAGAGTGGGCATCGGCCACACACGCCTGTGTGTGTGTGTGGGGGCCGCACACGGCCCTGTGTGTGTGTGTGTCGTAAGTGTATGTGTACACATAACACATTCTAGAGCCTGGGAGATCCTCCGCGTCCCCGCTTCCCTCTTTAATGGACTCACAACCATATCATAACTCCATAAAGGGCTTCGGAGGCCATATGTGTACGTACCCTATACCTAAATATACATAGCCGAGCATAAACAAGGCCAGTGTAATGTTAGTAGAGAGAATGCTGTGGTGGGGACTAAGAGCAACCTTATGAGCAAACCATACAAAAATACTACAACAGACGCAAGGAGGGAGAGACATATGACATAACTTTAATTATCGGAAGTAGGGGTAGAGCATTATTTATGGTGGTGAATACACATGGGTGGCAATATGGACTTTTTGCAGTACTACGTATGCCATAAATAAATGTTAGGTGGCTAACCGCCAGCAAACTTGCATTAAAATAGGGTATGATTTATTGGGCCAGTCAGCAAGGGCTGAGTCAACTCTTATCAACCCCCACTTTGACTTGGTCCCTTAATAGGTACTTCCAGCCTTGTTGACTCGAGCAACAATTGCATGCTCGCGCACTATACACATAATGACAGTTTCCTCAGTGGCAGTCCCAGTGTAGCCTGCATCTTACCACACGAGCCTCTGTTAATAGAGAAGGGACTCTAAAATAGACAACACCTGTTCCCTGTGAATCTTCCGTGGGGTAGAAAACCCAGGGCCTATTGCGATTTGTGGCAATTCTGCGAGTGCACGAGAATGCATACGATTATGCAAATACTGTTCAAGGGCCCGAGAGAACATCTTAATGCACGAGAATAGCCCCACTTATTATAGTAATAAACATGCCCCAAATTTTTGATGCTCACATTGGTTTTTTTTTTTTTTTACGTGTGTAGCGGGTTGGGCGCAGGGAAGGCGCCGCGGGAAACTTAGTAACCAAGCATGCGTAGTTACAAAACTGAGATGTTAGTTAACAACGTTTTTCATGGCCATGAACTGCTCACTAAGGTGGGCCGTGTATGTTGGTCTAATGGGTCCCCCCCCACGAACCAACCATTTGGAGGTTTGGTGAACTTGGTTGGCCATACACACACTTGATACACACACCACTTACACAAACTCCGAAGAATATCGTCTCTACCCAAAATCTCTCCACTCCCTCTCTCCCTCCACTCATCTCCCTCTCCTCCCCATTCCCCTCTCGAACCCCAACCCCCAACCACACAGCCCCACCTCCTAACCCCCCCCCCCACACAAAACCCACACCACCACCTGAAGAAATGGCGATAGTAGGTGCCTGCTAATGATTGGAGAGCCACTAAGACACCCCAATTCAAAACAACTTTTACTTTATCTCCAGAATATCTGGTCAGGGAATAGAAACACAACCGCATACTATCAACCGACACATTAATCACAGGAAAACATATTTCATTCCATACAGATCATAAATGTTAACCCTCCGACGAAATAGGGGCGACCTCCAATTTCTCAATGGACCCAACTTTTTCAAAACCCCATGCATAATACTTTATTGTATTATTGACCTCCAAGATAGGGGAACCCTCTCTACAAGGACCATTGCTTCAACCCAATGCAATACATTTAGTGTAATTATTTGACTCCAGATGGGACGCACCTCTCTAACACAATGCAGCCCCATAGTGTCCCACTTTTTGGAATGCTTCCACTACTGCACAACAATGGATACCTACTGCTATGTTATTATCTCGATCAGAATCTTTAAAGCTGGCGAAGGGCTCAGGGCAAAAGCTAAATAAAATGAATTTTCTGCGAAACGTGAGCCAGCTGACAAATTAGCTACCGTTATATAACAAACAACCATGCGCTTTCTGAGTCCCTGGATGCTTGTTTTATGCATCCAGAGTCTTACGAATTACCACCCTAACATAACCAGGGATGTTACCCACTGAAAAATATATGTATGTATGCTCTTCAGTGAAAAACAAATATATTACTTAAGCCCACAATTATTATTGGTGACAATTGTACGTTGAAATTAAAGCATGACCTGCAAGGCGTATATAAAATATTAGGTTACTCACATCATCGATGATCGAAAGGAGAGATTAACGATGCTGTGTCAGCCTCCAAAACGACAGTTAATTAACAGGCTTCCCGTACACTACACACGCTTGGTTGTGTAACCATGGCGACAAGGAATCCTTGGAAGAAGTAATGTCCTAACGGCCAAGTGTGAACACACCAGCAACACTAGAGGTCAAATGTCCACTCTAAAACACACAGACTGTGTCACAACATTATAATAATGGAAACTCCAAATTATCATCACCACACTTTACGAAATCCCACCCAATGCATCTCTTCTTTTTTGCTTGAAAAAAAGAGCTGTGCTGGGTGTACAGTGTGATGTGCCTTTGCCTTTCTAACCTCGTAGTGTTTCCCAAGCACCTATCAAATCACATACCCCCTCCCCCCTCAAAAAACCCCTCACTTGAATCCCATTGGATATACGTGCAACGCCAGAGAAACCAGTGTAGCTGGTCACGTAGTCAAGAAGGGAGGAAGAAAGAGGAAGATGCGAGCTGAGGACCAGTCTCCTTGGCTGACGGTGGACCTCTCTGCACGAGGACACACTGACAGGCGTTGCCCACACCCTCTTTGGCTCTCCTTCAACAGCGCGTGCAGGCCGACCGCCCTGAAGAGGGGAACTCGTTTGTGTGATTATTGTGTGTGTGCGCGGACGAGGAAGGAGAGATACTGGGAGAACAGACATGCAAATTAAAGTGAATGAGGAAGATCGAGGAACAAAAATATTTTACGACCTACGCTCTAGTTTGCAGACGCAGGCGGGCGGGCAGACACAAGAAAGACGTTTCTGAACATAGCCCCTGTTACTGGTATTACTTGCTTCTACTGACAGATTATTGGAGAATAAAACACAGCATTATTTCCACGTAGCTTAGAGAATAAAAAATTACATTTAATCACGTTCTAAGCTAATAGCAACAGATGTATGTACGATTCTTACAGTGGTGTATATATTATATATAGTCAATACTAGGAGAAGCTTTTCATGCATGAATCGAATGCCACATTCTTATATATACTGTGGATAAGTGTGTGTTTCTCCGGCAACTTACTGTCTGGAATTGAGTCGTCGAGGGCTAATATCACCAGGGGCAACCCCCGATATGGAGTGGGTGTGTCACCCCTCGGTATCCATAGCGACTGCAACACATTCTCCAGCCAGAGCAGGCATTTCTCAGAGTTCACCACGACAACGGCCCCTGTATATAGAACAGGCACATTCACACCCTGACACAATAACCCAAGCAAGTATAGTTAGGTTGGACATGAGAATTATTCTGGCAAAACAAAATATCGGAACATGATGCAAATATGTTCAAACAATTTTCAACTTTCACTGTTTTGCCGGTTAGTCTGAGGTTTTTGCTACATGACAAAACTGTGACATTTTTCATCACAAGAACTCTAGACTTTGACATTTAAAATTTGTGGGTGTGGACTGTATGATATGTTATGTCGTTCATTTCCTTAGTTTTCTCTTCTAATATTTCTTTTTAACGTTAAATTAGAGTAGACGGAGAAAATTTAGAGAAAATTTCTTTTTGTCTAATCCGTCTCCGTGGAGAAAGAGCTCAAACATTATGGACAACGCTTTTTCTCAACCAACTCTAATTCCACGTACAATGACTAACAAACTGATCAAACTGCACGACGTATTACAACATACATGTAGTGTATATACCTTGTGGTTGTGAGGAGGAGGATGATGATTGTAGAGAGGTGATGGAGCCGTGGTGGACGGTCAGCTCCATCTGGTACTTGACCCCTCTCACCTCACACTCCCCAGACCCACTCATGTGGTTCTGACCAACAAACAAACAAGTAAACAAGTAAACAAACAAGACAACAACCACAACAAAAGACTAGCTCAAGTGGGTGAATCAAATAATAGGTCTGTAAAATCAAAAGGGATTCATTTTTTCGAACAAACAAGTACGTAAAACAAGCAAGACGACTACTAGCAACGATATGATACTGATAAGTGGTCAACAACAACAGTTGAAAAAGGGTTTCCTATTCTATTGAGTGTTGCTGACCAGGGGTCTGACTGATTTCAGCCCGATCACCAGGGGTCTGACTGATCAGCCCGATCACCAGGGGTCTGACTGATTTCAGCCTGATCACCAGGGGTCTGACTAATTTCAGCCTTATCACCAGGGGACTGACTGATTTCAGCTTGATCACCAGTGGTCTGACTGATTTCAGCCCGATCGCCGGGGGTCTGACTGATTTCAGCCCGATCGCCGGGGGTCTGACTGATTTCAGCCCGATCACCGGGGGTCTGACTGATTTCAGCCCGATCACCGGGGGTCTGACTGATTTCAGCCCGATCACCGGGGGTCTGACTGATTTCAGCCCGATCACCGGGGGTCTGACTGATTTCAGCCCGATCACCGGGGGTCTGACTGATTTCAGCCCGATCACCGGGGGTCTGACTCACTCACCATGAAGTCACTGCGAAGAGTGAGGGCGTTCTCGGAGGTGCTCCCCAGAATGGCCAGACAGAAGGACCGGTTTTTCTGGTTCAGGCTCCAGCAGTCTGACTGGCTACTGCTGGTGTCACTGTCGGTGTACTCAAACAGACTGTGTCGCCTGGCCAGGTCCTCCTGACTGTAACACACATATTATATATATAGCTACCAGACAGAGACGATGAACTAGAATGAATGCCACGCTTTTTTGGCGAGCAAGCGCGAGCAGTTCAATATTTCGCGCGTGTTTTGTAGAACATTACGGTAAGTGCAGTGTGCCCGACACATAAAATTTTTTTAAAAATTGCCGCATTGAAATGACTAGGTAGGCTTGCTTCGCTCGTAATTATGGGCAGGTTCATCACTTTGCATTAGTTTCTATAGCACCTACATGCACTAACACAATGACGAGATAACAAAGAGAGCAAACTAGCATAAATTCTTTAACCGTAAGCTAATACTTAACCAGCCACGGACACATAAATGTGTCCAGAGCCTCCATAAGTCCATAAGAATTTATATGGGGTCATAATACTAGGTACTAATACTATAATACATACATCAATTTCTGCTTGATACCCATGACGTCCAAAGGGTTTTAAAAGCACAAAATTACACACACACAAAAGACAGAACAACATTGTTAACCATGATGCAACGTACGGTATCTGTAAGATAGGTATATAAGTCTCAGGCATTTCTATAGCACGCAATGGCCTATCATACCCACACGTTTCACGTTGTATGAGATTACATAATTGCCGAGTGCATTAGCGCGAGGCTACTACTCCGGGTTGTATTCTCGCGATATGCGTACGTGTCGGTCACGCTTAAGAATGTCAATTAGTCACGCTTGGGGAATGTCAATTAGTCACGCTTAGGAATGTCAACTTCCGTCATTCGTAAGAAGTCTAGCTTCCGCCGTGCACGCACGCAGAATCGTAGCAAGTCTGGCTTCGCGCGCAGTCAGTAGAGCGCGCGAACGAGCGGCCTCAGCGGACTGTTACTGGCTGGCAGGCGCGAGGCAAGATATGCGCGTGCGCATTCCTAGTATTTATCTTACACAACTCGTGTGTGAGAGATACGAACCTGGGAGCTCCATACTTGAGGAGTGACTGGGCATCTAGTATGGGTGACACTGCAAATGGACCTTTGTCTGGCCACTTCATGACTCCTATATGTTTGATGATGGCCGAGGTTCTGCGCTGCTCCACCCACACCAGTCTCTGGTACCGTCTGTCATCCTGGGAGGAGGAGGAGGAGGACGGGGGAGCAGGAGGAGGAGGAGGGAGGGGAGGAAGGAGGAGTCATGAAGTGGCCAGACAAAGCAGGAGGAGAAAGGGAAGAGGAGTGGGGTGACCTACATTATTTAGCAAGCCAACCAAGTTGTTAACCCTCGGTGCGCATGTGCAGCAAGGGTTACAGTACTTTGTCTGTCTGTCTGTCTGTCTGTGTGTGTGTGTGTGTCGACGCTTATTCTGGCACTACAGGCTACGAGGCAGCCTATTAGCGATACCAGCGGCTTCAGAACGACGCGAGCCTTAAAAATAAAAAGGCGATTTTCCTGAAACGACTGCGTTCGAGAGATATGACGTGAAAACAAGCAAAAAAACCAATATGCATAATTGCACTGGGCTTACCGAGTGAAATTCCATAGCCCCTTATTTGCATGTGTATCAGTTAGTACACCCCTCCCTAGGAGGTATGTTGTCAGTTTATAGGCCCGAGATATAGCGCCAGACACCCTCGTGTCTTTTATGCCCACCATGTGCCAGAAGGTTGGAATCTCATTAGCTAATTCCACTACACACAGCAACACACCCTGGTTGTAAAACGAAGAAAAAAACAGAGTAGGAAACAGTGTGTGTCCAGACCCCAACCTCAGGAGATGACAAGGATCTAGTGACAATATCTTGAGTGTGCTGAATCTGCAGTTTTTTTTGCAAGCCTCGTGTACTGCTGACCACATTAAACCACCAAGTTGTGTGTGATCACATACACAACACTCACAAGACTGCTGATTCAGTGCGATCAACACATTATGATTTCTGGGGAAACCCATCTAACCAATAGAGAGTAACAGACCTTCAGTTGTTCGTGGACGGTTGCCAGAGCCACCTCCTCTGAGAGGGTGAAGAGACGAGGATGCTCCAACAGGAGCTCGATGATGTCTACCACACACTCCTGCTCTACCAGTGCCATTCTGTGGATTGGACACACACACACTCACACTCTCTCTATACCGAACCATACTGAGGTGGAAAATAACAGGAGGTACATAGCTCAGGGATGTAGCTTGGCACTGCGTAAATTTCGCAATCTCATACCAAGGGTCACACTAAAGCCTTTACTTGGAGCTGTATGTTCGTTTGTTAACGGTTCCGCCCATTGCTCTGGGTGCGTGGTCTATGGCCCTAGTGCTATGGCAGCCACCTGAGTATTATTACTACTGAGGTGGAAAATGGACGCATCGCACCGATCACTTCTGGGTGCTACAAGTGAGGGTGCTACAAGTGAGGTACAGTTCATGTATCAACAAAGAGGAGGTATAGAACGGCAAGGCAAACTACACCTAAGGCAGTCTCCCAGGTACACAGATCACTTCTGGGTGCTACAAGTGAGGTACAGTTCATGTATCAACAAAGAGGAGGTATAGATAGAAAGGCAAGGCAAACTACACATAAGGCAGTCTCCCAGGTACACAGATCACTTCTGGGTGCTACAAGTGAGGTACAGTTCATGTATCAACAAAGAGGAGGTATAGAACGGCAAGGCAAACTACACCTAAGGCAGTCTCCCAGGTACACAGATCACTTCTGGGTGCTACAAGTGAGGTATATACAGTTCTTGTATCAACAAAGAGGAGGTATAGAACGGCAAGGCAAACTACACCTAAGGCAGTCTCCCAGGTACACAGATCACTTCTGGGTGCTACAAGTGAGGTACAGTTCATGTATCAACAAAGAGGAGGTATAGAACGGCAAGGCAAACTACACCTAAGGCAGTCTCCCAGGTACACAGATCACTTCTGGGTGCTACAAGTGAGGTACAGTTCATGTATCAACAAAGAGGAGGTATAGAACGGCAAGGCAAACTACACCTAAGGCAGTCTCCCAGGTACACAGATCACTTCTGGGTGCTACAAGTGAGGTACAGTTCATGTATCAACAAAGAGGAGGTATAGATAGAAAGGCAAGGCAAACTACACGTAAGGCAGTCTCCCAGGTACACAGATCACTTCTGGGTGCTACAAGTGAGGTACAGTTCATGTATCAACAAAGAGGAGGTATAGAACGGCAAGGCAAACTACACATAAGGCAGTCTCCCAGGTACACAGATCACTTCTGGGTGCTACAAGTGAGGTACAGTTCATGTATCAACAAAGAGGAGGTATAGAACGGCAAGGCAAACCTACACATAAGGCGCAGTCTCCGACCAGGTACACAGATCACTTCTGGGTGCTACAGTGAGGTACAGTTCATGTATCAACAAAGAGGAGGTATAGAACGCAAGGCAAACTACACCTAAGGCAGTCTCCCAGGTACACAGATCACTTCTGGGTGCTACAAGTGAGGTACAGTTCATGTATCAACAAAGAGGAGGTATAGAACGGCAAGGCAAACTACACCTAAGGCAGTCTCCCAGGTACACAGATCACTTCTGGGTGCTACAAGTGAGGTACAGTTCATGTATCAACAAAGAGGAGGTATAGATAGAAAGGCAAGGCAAACTACACGTACAAGGAAAAGTCTCCCACGGTTGCACAAACATACACAGATCACTGATTCTTGACTCTACAAGCTCATTTGCATATGAAAAGCAATACTCATCGACAGAACCTTCTATCCAGATTCATACAATACAGTGTCGGTGGAAGAGGTGCACATAATATTGTGTAAGTCCCACCTTTCCTGGAAGATATGGTGGGCCTTTGTAGGAGAGATGAGCTGCAGCTGGTCGGCCACCCCGAGCTCCTTCAACACATCTTCCATTCTCGACCCTGCATGCAGGAAGCACATGTGTATAACGTCCGATCTGTCGGACCGTTGAGGGCCGCTTGGTCCTCACTCACGACCGTTACAGTTTGAGATCAGCGTTAGTTCACAACACATCGATCACCACTTCAACTCAACACTACACACACACACTGATCTGACCACGTCATGTCTCTACTACTGGCTATACATACTGTCATCCACTCACGACTGTTACAGTTTGAGATCAGCGTTAGTTCACAACACATCGATCACCACTTCAACTCAACACTACACACACACACTGATCTGACCACGTCATGTCTCTACTACTGGCTATACATACTGTCATCCACTCATACATAATTAAACAGTCTAATCACAGTACATGCGCTGGGTGTTACACATGCACACACACATGCACACACACATGCACACACACATGCACACACACATGCACACACACATGCACACACACATGTACACACACATGCACACACACATGCACACACACATGCACACACATGCACACACACACATGTTGTTTAAAGCACTCCACATCCTATAATACACTGGCTTCTATTCAAATCCACTTCCTGCATGCATATTGGAAACAAATTTACTACAGACGTGACTAAAAACAGGGCTCAGTGCAAGGATGCTTGTTTTAGCCCTTATTCACAAGTGAGTCGGCCCTGCACAGCTCTGGCTCTCTGGTCTTCATTCTTTCACTCTGTTGGTTGTTTCTAGCAACGGACAAATCCTTCATCGTGATGTGGAATCCGGGGGTTCATTCGTCAAGAGGGGGGGCAGGGGGGCTTACCCCCTTGAAATTCAGGTGAACATTGCAATAGACACAAGCAGGCGTTTGTCTCTCCTCTTTCTTGTTAATACATATCTTCCCCCCCCCCCCCCTGGATCAATATCTAATGAAGACCTGTAAACTGTACGTATAATTATACTTTTTTCCAGCTGTATGTAAATGCCCCCATACAGACAAAAAGTAGCTCTGTTGTGTGGTTTCACACATTACATAAGTACGTACTGAGTGCCCAGCTAGCTGGCCTACGTATAGTGAATAGTGCACCATTTTTAATGCAAATACAGTGAGGGCATTGGTGCCTACTGAGTGCCCTGCTGGGTGAATAGTGTAATGCAAATACAGTGTGGGTATTGGTGCCAAGCCTTCACTCTCGTAATCACTCATCTCATTAACAGCTGAAGACATCCATCCAACTATAGGCCAGCTTTTGGTTCCAAACCTTGCCATCGCTGTGACATTGATCATCTTCATGAACCTTACTTCAACCACTTCATCTCCTTACCATTCTACCATTGGTCAGCTCATCCACAGTGTGCAACATGCATTGAGACACGATACACTATGCAAACCTTGTACCATGAGACATGCAACTTCAATTGTATGGGTATGATGGGTCCGTACAACATGCGACAGAAATGCTTCCTATTAATTTAGTTGCACTGTCATCCATCATACCATCATACCCATACATTTGGAGTTGCATGCAACTTTGTCTCACGCAACAAAGTTGCATCGTGTATCATGAGGTGCATGCATACCCACAGCTTCTCTGTCTTTAAGTTAGGAATACAATTAGCTGGGACTGAATTCAGTGTCTGTTTTGTACAGACTTCTGAGAATGTCTGGGGAGTTCTATTGATATATACAATGTAGGGTCTCCAGCGATACCTACACACAGACACACGCACGTTGGAATGAAGCAGCTTCCCCACTCACATCCATGCTGGCTGAAGTACAACTGGCTTTTGTTGGCCCACACACACACACACGATACAGCATGTACAGTGGACCCTCTGAATAATGGCAGGTTGAGACCAGGCATTTTGTCCTCTACTGGAAGGTGAGTAGTTTGATTTTTCGTGGGGTGTTTCACGCTCAATTAGAATTTGCCCTTACATAACAGGAAAAAATTTGCATTCAGACAACTAGGTTGGCTTGTTTCGCGCACCAATAAGATTGTCCTCTCTTAGGAGGTTAAAAATGTACTAGGATGATAGGAAAGTGAACATTTCGGAACTCAAAGTGCGTCCGTTACTGAGAGGTTGCTTCTATGGTGTCCTTCACCTGGGAGTGTCCTCTATTGGAGATTCTACTGCATACAATAGATATACATACCTGGTATGAGGTTTGAGGCAGTCTGGAGTGCAGAGGATATCTTGTCGCAGGCAACCTGTTTCCTCAGTGGAGCCAGAACCTACGTACGGTACATACACACACACGTGTACTAAGGAATGGAACGCATTTTTGGTGAGCGAAGCGAGTAGTTTGATTATTTGCGCATTTCACACGTGAATATTAATATAATTATATTAGTAATATTATACGAGAATCACGTAGTATAATGTTACTGTATGTGCAGTGACGTTCATAATATGTAGAAATTTGTGAATTCAGATGACTAGGTAGGCTCGCTTCGTTTGCCAATTAACTATGCACATAATTATGCGCCCCCTAATAACTATGTACATATGACACTCACCACATCGATTCTCTCCTGGAGCAACTTCAGTCCCTCCTTCTCTCCCGAGGAGACTGAACGGTACCTGTGTCGTTTGCTCCTGTTTCAGAAACTGGGCGTCGTCCCTCCACTCTGCATTCTCCGTGAAATATGCCGAGAACTTTTCGTGCTTGCGAATCAACTCCACGCATGTCTCTGACGTGTCTTCCAGCGAGAGATTCACCAGGAATAACTCGAGAGATGCTCGTATGTGGTCGAGAAAATCGGTCGTTTTCGATTTGATGACGCCTTCTTTGAGGTATTTGAGTTGTGCTCGGATGAGCCGGTCTACTCTATCGATTCCCTTCAGTTCTCGCAGCAACTGGAACTCGACCTCGTTTTCGAGACTCTTCCTGGCCACGGGGAGAGGGAGAGAGAAATCGGTGATTCTACCGGACAACAGGCCCTGGAAACTCTCCTCGTTTCTGCGCACTCTCTCCTTGAGATTGGCGTGGGCGACGGAGAAAGCCAGTATGCGGGTCCGCGGTCTTCTCGAGTCCACGAGGTGAGCCAGGACTAGGAAACACACGTCGATGTTGACACCTTCCAGCGCCGAGACCTCGATGACCGTCGGTTGTCGTCTGCATTTGGAGAGGATTTCGTTTGCGGCCGCAATAGACTTTTCCTTGGCAATGTCGAATTTCGTGAGCGCCACTACGATATGGGCCTTTTTCACGCCCATAATGGCCGGGAGAAGCCGTCCCAGGAATTCTCGTTGCGTGCCCTGTGCCTCAGGCAACTCATCGTCAGAGACGTCGATACAGATGATGTAACCGTCCACGGTGAACTTGTCCGGGAACCGGGCGACGTTTGAGAATTCGTCGGGCACGGCCAGCTGGTCTGGGTGGATGTACTGCATCTTGCCTCCACTCACCAACTTCTGCTGAATGCACCGCTTGTGGTAGGGTTTGACAATGGAGTAGAGCTGCAGGTTACCGTCCTCGACAAACTCTGTGTGCTCCACAATCTATTGTATGATAGAGGGGGGACTGTACATTGGGTATCGTGCACAATTCTCTGCCTCATCCCCACATGAAGATGTGTGTGCACCACCAATGTAATGCCATTACAACATACTTTTGGTCCAAGACCTCACCCACTCATCATGGATCTGGTAGCTACTGACACGTTTCTCGGTCCTCATCTCGAAATCGAGATCTCCAATCAGATTTCAGAACAGCCAATCAATGTCACGTACACATTATACTACCTAGTCCGCGGACTTTGGTAGGCGGGGCCCCGTATGATCGAACCACATACTAGAAGAACGGTTCGGATACTATGGATATGACGTCTTTAGGACGCTTCAAATGCTACCACACGCTCCTCCACCACCTCGTGGGTGGAGTGGTTGGGTACGAGCAATTCAACACCAGGGGAATAGCGTGTGTATCATTTCTGCACCAACAAAGTGGGTGAAAGTGTGGGTGGCATCCTTTAGGAGGCTGTACAAGACACAGATATGGCACCCCATAAAAGAGTGGTACAAATATGGAGGAGACCTCGATTGCACTACTATTGCACAAGACACACACACACACACACTCACACACACACTCACACACACACACACACACACACACACACTCACACACACACGCACACACACACACACACTCACACACACTCAGGGGGGACTCAAGACATAACAATGCCCTGCACTTTCGAGGCATAGCGCTGGGCCATAATTCACACCGCTGATATGTGGTCTATGGCATTTTAGGGTACAGTATTCACAGGCTGTTAGTCTATAGCCTCTCGCAGTGCGTGGACTCAAACTACCTTCAAAACAGGCAGGTGCTCAACAGGCAAACACAATAGCACATGTTCTGCTGGATATGACCCACCCCTTCCTACGCACTTAATGGCATAGCTGTAGCAAACAACCCCAGACTCAACAGTACATATATGGAGACAGATACTATGAATAGTGACTCATTACAGCGATTTATGCAGTGGAGCCCATCTCTAAGGACACCCCTGAAACGAGGACACCTCTCTAATACGGACACCTTTTCTTTCCCTAAGAACGGTCCTTTCAAGCATTTCACCCATCAATAAGGACCCCTCTCTAATATGGACACATGTTTCTGTCCTTCTAGTGTCCAATTAAGAGGGGCTCCACTGCACATGTATAAAAATGAACACCTGTACATACGCACGTACACAAACACCTGCAAAGAAGAATGCCTATGAACTATATACAAAGCACCGGTCCGCTCCAGAGGAGGGAGGGATGCTGAGATTTCGGGGTTCACCTGAAAGGACACGGAGCCGTCCTCGAGAGCCGCAATCTTCTCTCCCCAGTAGAGATGGTGGTCGTTGTTGACCATGCTCGAACCAAAGTCAGAGTTGGTCATGATGCTGCTGTGGTTGAGGCAGAGGTCGTCTCTCTTGGGCCGCACGAAACGATTGCAGAGAACGGATTTTCCGGCACCCTGGCCAGAGGTACCGGGGAAACTGGAGGACGTGAGGCCGACCACTGCCACGTGAACCACGGGAAGCTTTTTGGTTGCCATGTCTGCAAAGTGGACTCTGTGTGTCTGCGGTGTCTGAGAGAGAAAGCATGCAAACATTGGTAAACTCTCTTGGCAGGGGACACAAGTGTAGAGAGAGGGTAATTACTTTTAAAGCGTGTCATGTGCAGCAGTGGAAATGCACAGAGAAAGAGAAAGAGAAAGAGAGAGAGAGGAGGTGGTGAGACTAATATCAAAATGTTGCGGTTCATAATTGGTTCTTCACTCCTACAGGCAAAGGCATTCCACATAACATGACCTTCAGCTGTGTCACAAGATAGTGAAACTGGACACACGGAATTGAAGGTTTTCGTTGACACATGTACAACACCGACCGCCACATGCAACTAACTGGGTTGTAGAGGTAACTAGTATGTACATAGGCCTTGGGATGTCAACTTGTGCTCTGTTGTTGTATTTACATAACTATATACCTTGTCATATCTTTAGAATGACCATAAAGATGTTTGTGAGCGTTTACAAGCTAAATACATTTATGACACATGTAGCATGCATACCTCTAGTCTGCTCTTATTGCATGTATGGTAAATAGGTTCACCTGGTGAGCGTACGTGGATGTGTGAGTAACACAGCACTACCAATAGGTATTACACGCATACATGTAGAGCTGACAGGGCACATGTGGAGACTATGGTACAGTATGGTACAGGTCCTTGACAGAGCAAAGTACAGACAAAGTCACACAGTAAGGGTTTTTATGCAGGACTACGGCATGCAGCAAGCTGAGCGACCAGCACTGCAGAGCTAGTGAATGAATGCCAACAACTTTTGTTCTGTGTTTGTGGGTGTGTGCATGGACAGATGCAATGCTGTACTCCAACAGTAGGGTGCAGAATCTCCGCGAGTAAAACTAAGAGAGTTCGCGCACTATCAAATCCCGTGCTGGCTCTATATATACAAACACACACAGATGTGCGAGCCTATTATTAAAAAATTGCTGCCATGATCGACTGAGCACTCTTGGTCTGAGAGAAGGCAAGGCACGTAGCTATACTCACACGCACAACACACACGTACATACACATGTACCTGGTGAAGCTAGTCCAACAGTTGCAGCTCCTACCGTCCCGACCAGGGCTAGTCTGCTACCTTGGGGGTTACTGACTGTGCTAGCTGCGTCTCCAGATACGCAGACTAGGACATGTAGGAGACGTTCATGTATTTCGTACGACTTCTGGGAGGTTCAGGTGTTCCACGCTTGTCAGGCTGCATGCAAACAGCAGGGGCAACTTCCACAAACGCCTTGCTGGTCAGCTTAGCTCGTTTTTTTTATCAACACAAGATGATGATTTCCGTTTAGCGTGCGGAAGGCGGCGCGCGCGTTCAATTTATGACATCACATCCGATTTTGGGTGCGGTCGACGTCTAGTCTCGCTGCGCGCGATTCTCTTTGTGTGTGTGGGCAGGTTTTGCTGGAGCGAAGACGAGCGTGTGAGAGATCGGAAGAAAACCATGGCCGAAGGTGCAGGTGGAGCTGTGACGCAGCAGCCGCGCAGCAAGAAGAAGGAGCTGGAGGAGTTCGTGCGAGATCTGGATCCACTCCAAGTGCAAGGTCGACCGACCACGTGCACTGCTCGCGACCCCCCCACTAGCTAGCTAGGGTGCCGATTGAAATTTGAGACAGCGTGTGTAACTTTCACCCTACTACCCGCGTGGAGAGGGATATGTGTTTGGATTTTGCTGCAGAGCGTGATTTTAGGTCAAGATCTTGGTTTTATTCGTTTGCTTGCAGAATGGAGCGAGCATGATGTGGTGGAGAAGTATCTCCGACCCATCAACATGGAGCACCTTGCCAAGCTCTTCACTGAGAACAGAATCAACGGTGCCGTCCTCATGGCTCTAGAGGTATATTATATACAACTGTCATCTTTTGTGGGTGTTTCTATGTGTGGGGTGTAACTGGAGGTCTTGGCTCCTGGAAGAAATCTAGCAAGACTGCATTCCTTTTGAGCTGGTGCTCCTCACCGTGGTAACTCCATTGCCCAGAGTAACTGGAGGCCCACTCAGCTATGTGACACTATGCTCTGCTTACACTGTCGGTGGTAGCTGGACAATCATTGTCAAAGGCCGCATGTGTAGCACACTGAGCATGTGATGTCTATGTGAGGAGCCGGCACTTACAACTACCTCACTCTCCCTCTCTCTTTTCGACAATCATTGTCAAAGGCAGCATGTGTAGCACACTGAGCATGTGATGTCTATGTGTGGAGCTGGCACTTACAACTACCTCACTCTCCCTTCTCTCTTTTCTTCTCCATCCCTCCTCTCTTAGTCTCTCTCTCTCTTCTCTTTCTTATTTCTTTGACACTTCTCTCTTTCTCTTCCTACCCTGCTATAGTTCTAACTCCTCTTCCTCCTTTTTCTCTCTTACAATGGGAGCAACTTAACACAACTGTACCTTCTCTCTCTCCTTTTCATCCTCTCTTTCTCTCTCCCTCCTCTTTATTTCTCTTTATCACCCCCCTTTTCTCAGGAAAGCCACCTGAAAGAGATAGGGGTGACAATGGTCGGTGAGAGGATCCTGTTCCTGGAGTACCTGAAGCTACTCAAGAAGCACAAGAGGGACGCAGACCGCTCTCGCTCTCTCTGGACCGCCACCACTCCCTACCTCAGTCTGGCCTACCACCGCAACTGTGGAGAGTTCTGTTTCCACGTGAGCTTTCCACTTACTCCCAAATGCATTGCTTCAGGGATAAGGGGGGCACTTGGTGGTCAAGTTGTCTCCCCTGTTATTCGTAGGCTAATTAGCTGTGCAACAACAAGGCTTGGATTTCCATTAGACATTGCTTTGCTGCAGCAAAGTGGTGTTTGGGGATCATTAGCAGTGTTTAAACTCTCGAACTTCTGTGGATTTAGTACTGCTATTCTTTCTTACGTACACGACTATCACTTCTCCTGGTTTATGTAGGTATGTTTAGAGTAAACTTCCCCTTTGTGTTATAATTTTGCCTCTGGTTCTTCGCAACCCTAGTTTTGCTCGGGGGAAATAGTAGCCTTGGATGAAACCACCACTCACTGGATTATTTCTTGTGGCGATTCCAACCACTGGGAATAAATACAAATGCAAGCATCTCTGTATAGTGTGCCCTCCTGGAGTACTACATTGCACAATTACTCTCTCCTCTCTCTCTCTCTCCTCTCTCTCTCTCTCTCTGTTCCTTACAGCTCTGTTGCAACTGCTGTGTGCCCACCACTGAATGGAGGGTCACCGGACAGGGAATCAGGTGGAGGAAAAACAGAGCTGCCATCAACTGCTGTGGAGACGGTGGGTCCACCCCGCAATTATGATGTAATAATTGACTTTTCCTTCCCCCTCTCCCTCCCTCCTTCTCTCCCTCCCTGCAGTGGAGACGCAGTTCATTGACTACAGGTTCCTGAAGGACCTGGAGATCCGCAAGGACCCCAAGTGCTGCTGCTGCTGTGTCGGGACCGAGCTCCTCGTCTACGCTGACGACAAAGACGCTGTCTCGTAAGATTCCCCTCCCCCTTTACTGTTCCCCCCTCAGTACATACAGTGGAGCCCCTCTAATCTGGACACCAATGGTAATAAGTTAGGTGTTCTTTTTTTGAAGGTTATATTGCAGCAAGAACGGTTGTTGGGGAAAGAAAGGGTGTCCTTAACAATGAGGTGTCCTCGTTTCAGGGATGTCCTTAGAGAGGGGCTCTACTGTGTATGTAATAGCGTCTTCTAATACACTCGCACATTTGTTCCCTTGTTCTGTCCTCTTTGTCCGCAGTGTCCGTCAATCTAAGGCCAGTGGTGGCACCACAACAGACGCGGAGCCCGTCTCCATCCTCCACCCAGAGGCCGCTCGTGCTGAGAGCATCGTTCGCAATGCTTGGGCCGACGCTAAGCTTGTTGCCGACTAGCTCCCTGAACTACTACATACTATGTACATAACATAGAGTGCTCTGAGAACTAATAGAGCAGAGATGTAAATGAGAGAGACTTTTGGACTGACTGTTTTCCAGAGTGTTTGTATATACTAGAGATGTCGTTCTTGTGCTTCCTCCTGTGCCGCTGCCAAAGGTCAATAATAAAAGCCTTGTGCTAATGATTGGACATGACGAGATTGGGAATGCCAGGCTGCTACGCTGCTTCAGGCTATGAATATCATGAATAATTCATGACTATGCTAACGCTATGCAAATCAACTGTCAGTAGACGATCTTTCACGTTCCCTGTGGAAAAGTGACTAGAGCGAGATTTTTTACTTCATTTCTTCATCAACAGCTATCCTTATATGATCCAAGTGTCTTGCAACCTTATAAAACTGTTGGAGCTCTTATAATACAGGAAATATGTTCTCCCCTTGATCATTTTACACTGGTACCCCACACACGTTTGAGATGTCAAATTATGTGGAAAACAAAGCTGTCTTTAGTGAATAGAACAGCAGATTTTCACAGGTTGTCTTTATGTCTCTCCCCTCTTATATATCTCTTTATTTCTTGTCTCTCCCCTCCCCTCCACCTCCTCTCTCCTCTCTCCGTCCATTATTTCCTCCCCTGCAGTGTTCGTCAGTCACAGTCTACCACTGTGCAAGCCTCAGCGAGGGGCTACAGTAGCGTCGACTCGGAGCCCGTCATAATCCGACATCCCGACATCCCCAAGGCAGAGAGCCTCATCAGGAATGCCTGGCAGGACGCCAAGCTTGTCGCTGACTGAGCCCCGCCCCGCTGGACAGGGGCACCTTGCAATCATGGACTGAACTCAATTACTTCCTAGCTTCAGGAATTCATGTACATAATACCATAAGTAGCTATTCAGACCATTCATGGCTTCTGGCTTGTGTTACGACCACTCCGGGTGTCTTCGCGTCTTGATTATGTAATATTTGCGCGTGCGCAAATCTCTTCATCAGTGCGCATGCGCGGACCCGCATGTTTCTAAATAACGCACACTCAAGCGTAGTAAATAAAGCTTGTAGCTATACGTCTTTCCTCTCACAGGGAAACGGACGACATGAACACGAGATCACACGACATGGAAATGGTGAGTAAACGCCCTGGTAGTGACCGTACCCCAGGGACGACTGCATATCTCTGACCCGCCAGGTGGTGGCAGCTCGTCAGGTGGAAGAGGTTACCAAGGCCCTCTTCCATACAATACTGCTGCACAGGACCACTGGAAAGGTGAGCATGGCGGTGGTTCTGGCCTTAATACCAGTCCTTATACACAGTGGGCCATTAATATTGAAAAGTTCTTATGAAATGCACGAACCCTGCACCAATGAGACAGAAGAAAAGTGAGATGTCCCTTTTCATTGCATGCAACAACTGTTCATGGGGAAGGAAAAGGTGCCCGTATTAGAGAGGTGTCCTTGTTAGAGAGGTGTCCTTATTTCAGGTAATACTATTGGTTCTCTGAATGGATCAGCAATGTACATGCCATGTGTGTGTGTGTGCATCCCCCCACAGTACGAATACAGCAGCAGACACTCTGGGACCTTCTCGGTGGGAGTGGTGGGTATGGAGGATGTGGATCTGTCCACCCTTGACTTCACCTATGTCAGTTCTTCCCCTCCTCTCCCCTCCTCTCCCCTCCCCTCCCCGTCCTCTCCCCTCCTCTCCCCTCCTCTCCCTCTCCCTTCCTCTCCCCTCCTATCCCCTCCTCTTCTCTCCTCACTACATATGTCTCTTAGTTTCGTATACCCAGACCCCGCCCTCAGGAGAGGAAAAGGGTCTGGTGACTATTGAGCAATTTCTTGGTTGTGCTGACTCATCAGTTTTCGAGTGCATGCACAGAAGCCTTTGTTCGAGATGAGGTGGCATCTGTACGTTGTAAGTTGAGTGGGTCTGAAAAAGCATTTTATGTAGTGTATACAGAGTCTGCCTTTCACAAATACAGCAGGTGTCCCAAAAGTAAGATGTTGAGTCAGCACAGCCAACAGATCGCTCAATGGTCACCAGACTGGTGTGACCACATGACTAAGTCTCCCTGGTGTTGTTGTAGGTTCGCTGCACCTCACGGGAGCTGGACCAGTGGTTAAGTCAGCAGATTGAGGGGCTCCCCTCGTCACTGTGTCAGCCCGATTCGCCCAAAACCGGAAAAGTGAGTGTGACGATTATTACAGTAAAACTTCTGAATAAGGGACACCTAACTTTTGTTCAGAGGCGTTCCTTGTTCAAAGGTGATTACATACACTATTCTACAGTGATACCACCGAAAAGGGACCCTCCGAATGAAGGACATACGTAACCACAAATGTACTCTCCTATTAATGTATATTCACAGCAAAAACGGTAATCAATACGAAAAAGTCACCTCTCTATAAGGGGCACTTGGTTCTGCTGCATACTAATACATTAGTGACACCTCTGAATAAAGAACACCTCTCTATAAGGGACACTTGGTTCTGCCCCATAAGTTACCTCTGAATAAAGGACACCTCTCTTTAAGGGACACTGTGGTTCTGCCCCATAAGTTACCTCTGAATAAAGGACACCTCTCTTTAAGGGACACTGTGGTTCTGCCCCGTACTAATGCATTAGTTACCTCTGAATAAAGGACACCTCTCTTTAAGGGACACTGTGGTTCTGCCCCGTACTAATGCATTAGTTACCTCTGAATAAAAGACACCTCTCTATAAGGGGCACTTGGTTCTACCCCATACTAATACATTAGTTACCTCTGAATAAAGGACACCCAACGGCCAAAGGTCTCTCTTATTCAGAGGTTTCACTGTATTGAACCAAGCGTTCTCTATAGAGAGGTGTCCTTTATTCAGAGGGTCGTTTATCAGAGGTTTAGTTTATCATGTTTCTCTCCACCCTCTGAGAAGATTACTCTTGAGTTCTACGAGAGGAAGAAAGGTCGCTGGCTATTGCCTGCAGAGAACGTCAGCTGGGAGGTGTGGCACCTCATCCTCTCCCTCACAGAACCGACCTCTGAGGAAGGTGGGCAAACCTCCTCTCCCCTTCCTTATCCCTCCTCCCTCTCTCATCCCCTCTCTCTTCCCTCCTCCTCCTCCCTCTCACACAGAGTGGGAAGAATGTCAACAATGTGTGGCAGAGAAGCTCGCTACAACAGTAAGTACAATGTACAGTACAGCATTGTCAAGTGCAATTCAGACACGACTAGTGTCATGACCAGCCCCACCCACCGGAGAAGGGATGTCTGGCAACTATTGCACAATTTCTTTATTTTGACCTTTTGATAGTGATTTTGAGATCACCAATCAGATTGCTTACTGGTGATGTAATGTACTGACATAAGTGAGTGTGACTAGGGAAAGCTTGCATAAATGATGTAATGTACATTAGACTGTTCGAAGTTAGTACGCTCTACCGACTGCTGTTTGCCTATATTATTATGTCCCACACTGGTTGTGGTAGGTTATGAGATATCAACAATTGAGACAGTTTGATTTGCAAATGGTACGCAGCAGTTAGCAATATTGAGAGAGCCACGGTGGGTGAGGGGATTTGGGCACGAGACTAACTCACCTATTATATAACCTACTCAAGACATCAAGAGTGATCTATAACCAAATATGTCCCCCAAGTCCCCACTCCAGTCCACTCCACTCCATCCCCTTGTTTTCTCCTCAGGTGCAATACATTACTGACGTCGTCAACAGACCTGAGTACATTCCTCGTAACCCAACTGCCGAGAATCTTCCCAATGTGTTTGACATACGCTTCCCTGAGGTAACGACATAATTATCTCTCTCTCTTGTGTGTGTGTGAGTGTGCGTGCATGCATGAGTGTGCATGTGGTGTGTGTTAGTGTGGGCACTTCCAAGTAAACTGGCATTTGGTGAAAAACTGTTGTGCTTCTCAAATGGCTATATTACACCTGATGTGTATATACGTACCTATAGGCCTAAGTGTGATGTGTGTATATACATGTGTTCGGAGCATGTCATGCAATAGTTGTTTCCCTTGTCGATTTGTTAGTCCTCAGCGATGCCACGACAGTAGTTTACAATGTAACCCTTTATTAGGACACTGCAATAAGGACAGTTCCTGAATGCAATTACTTCCAATTGGTCTCTGGTTTCCACTGTACATACCACGAAGTTGAAATGGCGAGCAAATGGCGAGCAAAGCGTGATTTTTCACACGTATTTCGCAAGTATTTAGAATCACGTAGAACATTAAGGCATGTGTAGTGGCGTCACACTAACAAACAATTGTCGAAAAATTCCACGTTCAGACGACTAAGTGGACTGCTTTGCTTGCCAATTAAAGGGTGTCCCGATAGTACTATACTATACTATAGTAAACTCCGGTCCATATTATGCTATATATATACGCAGGTGCAGCCATATCTTCATAGGATTGTGATAGGAGGGGCAGAAGAAACAGTGGCAGGGAGAATGCAGAAACTCATCAGAAACATTTCCGGCTACCAAATGTAGCTATAGCCTCACACCCTCACTCCCCCTCCCTCCCCCCCTCCTCATATTTCTTATATCAAACTGCTCATCGTCATGTTTTCAACACTGTTACACAAAGAACCAAACATAACAATAATATGGCACCCACTATGAATACAACAAATATAATGACACGACACCAACCAACTATTTTACACCAAGTATGGACAATTATGATACAATCTCTTTAATAAAACAACAACAAAAAAGCTAGAGTAAGCGCCAATAAATTTTGAGGGCTACTGGATGAATCTGAGATGTGCAGTGCCGCCCACACATTGTCCTTTCTTTGAGGACCCACGCTATGATAATATACACTGTGATTAAATTGATTCACACACACTATATGACTTGGAGTTGTACAACTGTACAAGAAGATACGTCTTGGTTGCACACGCAAGAAATCTGAGAAATAGTGAAGATCTCCGAGTGTCAATGGCAGGAGGTAACAAAGGACGATTGCCACGAGGGATTTACTTCACGCGACTTGTGTATGTGAGTACGTGTATGTGTGTGGTTGCCGTGGTGATGCATTACTGCACTGTTTCCCCGAGTCGATCGTCGAGGGCAAAGTACAGGTTGAGTTTGTCACCCGGTGTCCAGTACTGCAATGGAGGAGAGGAGAGAGAGAATCAAAAATACTTGTGGGAGTGAAAAAGGTTTTTTGCGTGGGCTAGTGTGAATGAATTGAGGGCAAAAGTATTCACAGTTCTAAACCATGAAGATATTTTTTATTCGCAGTATTGGCGAGGTTTGTCATATATAAAACTCAGACTCACAAAATATGCAAAGCTGTTTCAGCAAAACAATTTCATACAAAGGGAGGAGAGGGGGGAGGGGGAGAGTTCAAGACATTAGAATGTTGCAGTCTAATTCTCTTACATCTCACATATCTGCCTCAAAGTGGTCTCCAGGCAGCATCTGGAGATGGTACATCATACAGTACATCAAACACAGCTAACGACAGCTATAATGAAAAGTACTAAAGTGAAAACCCTCGGCGAACTGCGGTACCGCTAATTGATGGGCTGGGCTATAATATTAGTATGCGTGGTCTCCCGCTAGTAGCTCGTGGAGAGCCTGACACGGGCTAACTACAGTAGTAGATAGCATGCGGGAGTCGATACACGCCCTTCGTTGTGACTTCTTGTGCCTTCAAGATAGACAGAGCAAGCGGACCCGGTCGAGGTACAGTACATCATATGTCAGGATTACACACTTCTTTTAATTTACACACTCTCTCATCCTTGGTGTGTGATTCTAGCTGGCAAGAGAACTCTCCTCCATTCGACGGCATTCGCTGCACTCTTTGGTGCCTGACCGAGGCTGTACCTCTTTCCAATCTTAGCGGTTCCAAGATGCAAGTTGTAGAATGGCTCGTGCAGATACAGTCATTGTGTGCTCACTCCTGCTCGCCCAAAATGCCCTGCATTCCATGCACTAATAACCTTTACCCTAAGATCCACCCACCTCACTAATCCAGCCATTTTTCAGGTCCCAAGTGTGGCTGGAATAGCAAGGTTCCACCGTACACACTTGGAACCTCTAAATAATGGACACGTTGGGATCAGGCAGTTTGTCATTTACAAGGAGGTTGTCCTTTCTTTGGAGGCTAATAATGTACGTTTGGGAGCTCTAAATGTGTCCTTTATTGCGAGGTTGTGTTCTTAGTTCAGAGTGTCCTTTATCGGAGGTTCTACGGTAATGTGTGTGTCTCACAGTGTATTGCCCATCGTCTCCAAACTGAATGTAGAGACTGAATTTACTGCTAACTGCATGGCTACTATCTCCAGTCACCACCGGCTTTGGTCCTGAAGAGAGAGAGAGGATGGAGGGAGGGGAGGAGGGAGGGAGGAGGAGGGAGGGGGAGGAGGGAGAAGAGGGAGAGAGAGATGCAGATAGAGTGGGAGGGAAGAAGAGAGTAAGGAGGAAGGGAGAAAAGTAGGAGGGGGGGAGAAGGTATATATAGATGAAATTGATACCGAGCAAAATACGACACCATCCAACAGTCTCAACCGATTGTTTCAACTTTGAATACCTCGGACAGTGAAATCACAACGTGCAGCGCAGCGCAACCCGATTGGTCGGTTGGCTGCTATGCCTGCAAGTTTTTGCGTGTTGCCTGAGATTATTTTGATGCTCAGATCCGCCGACCTAGCTGACTAGAAGGAGGGGCTGTTGTAATTACACAAGTAGACCAAATCACAGTAATCGTAATACCTCTCTTGTCCAGACTGGGGTAGTCCATGATGTATTTCAGAATGTGCGCAACCGTCGCCACGGGTACTGTTGCCAGGTTACGGATTGGGAAGTTGGTGACGGAGGCATCTTGTGGGTGTGGCCTCACTTGCATCTCGACCTCGTCATCATCTTCGTCAGTAAGAGGAGGAGAAGGAGAGCCTGGGGTGTTGAGTCAGAGCCTTCAAACTTTACACAGACAGTTCAAGCCAGTTTAAAAACTCCGTGTGTTAAGTATAAACCGGTGTAGAAATCACTTTCTTTAAATCACCGCAAGTAGACATTTTTCTAAGTCGGTTTGGTTTATTTAAAAGTGTCTGTGCAAATGAGGCTGAAGTCACTAAATATTTAGTTGCAAAACGACGTGGTATGCAGTACGTCTATGCCACTCTTTCTGTGAGTCCAGGACCAGCTTTCCTGTCCGTGCTGCTGATAACAAGATTACTAGCACACTAAGATCTAGGGCAGGCCATAGAGCACCACACTCTTTTAGTTCCTGTCTTGCTGACAAACTAATAAATGCAGCGAAGGTATGGTCTTCTCATTACACTTTTTACGAAAGTTGATTTTCGTTCGTCTTTTATAGGGATCCTCAAACTCTTCTAACAACCAGGCCGTACAAACTGCATAAAATTACATGCACAAGTATATAGCATGTCCCTAATTATTCTCCCCCAAAGCAGCAAATCGCAAAAAAATAGTTGCTGCAATTAAAATTAATTGGTAGAACCACACCCAGATATAACTCACTGAGGTCTCCCATGTCTGAAGAGGGCGAGTCCTTTGACCTTTTCTCCTCAGGGGGCGGAGTTTCCGTGTTGTCTCGGGAGTCCGGAGCCTTTCTCTGGAGGGAGGAGAGAGGACAAGTGCCAGTTTAGTTCAGACTTGTGCAGAGTTGCCAACCATCCTGGAATGGTTCTGAAATTATGAGCATTGCGCTGGCGCCGTCCTGTCAAAGCCGAAATACTCAAAATGTCCCGGATTTCACTTACATCGACCTTCCACCCTATTTCATGGCCGCTGCAGCTAAATCTGTGCCTTCTTTAGCCAAATCCAACAATGTTAGCTAAGAAAAAGTCTGATAAATCTTTATTCAGTCACGAACCTGTGCGCACCGGACTCGTTTATTAGTGGGCGTGGGTCAATTAGGGGGTGTGGTCAATTCTGCACATCCCAAAAAGTTGGCAACTATGCTTGTGTGTGAGGGTAAGGCCTGTATGTACTATGGCTGTGCAGTGAGCCTGCCTGCAACATGTCTTCAGACTGCATGCTCTTGCAGTTCACTGACCATGGAGAAGTGAATGCCGGCCGGCTACCACGTGTTGACAGTTCTTTTTGCAGCACTAACTGCAGTGTGTTTCTCATGCACTGCACAGCAGAGTGGAGCCCCCGTTGTTGAGACACAAATGGGACAGAAGAAAGTGTCCATTATTAGTGAGGTGTCCTTATTTTAGGGGTTTCGTTGCGTGCTAGAACATTTCATTCATCATTTCAGGGGTGTCCTTAGAGAAAGGAGCTCCACCGTAGCCACCAAGCTACCAAAACCACATTATTAACTGCATAACTGCATGTACGCACGGCTCATGAATTGCACGATTTGGCTGCACAAGTGCATGCAACTCAGGCTCTATGCACTGTCCAGTACGTCAGACAACGTGGTTATAATCTATACCTTGCGCCTGGTGATGAGCTGGCTTCGTCGCGGCGTGTACTTCTCCACCTGAACATTCAGTCCCTCACGATCAGGGTAAATCTGCACACACACACACCACACACACACACACGGACAGAAATGCATAACTCGAACAATCAAAAATACTAACAAACACACACACACAAAAGCTACTGACTGTCAACTGGCAGTCAGACTTCCTCAGGGTTCGGCCTAAAGCACAAAAGGTGCAAAAGTTGTTGAAAGCTGAAAGCTCTAGAATAGCAATGAACCCCTATGTCCCAACCACACATCAATAGCTGCTGCAACATTCCTTGCCCAACCACCCATTATCATCATTGCAGGCATTCAGTCACTGTGCACATGACAATCTTGCTGGTAAGTTTAATTCCCATCGAATGCAAACACTGACCATAGGTTTGCAAGATGCATTCATGCCAAAAGTAATGTGTTGTGAAACATTTGCTGCAGTCACTCAACAGAAAGCACTTCTAGAACAGACCTTGTTAATAAGGGCCTCAAAATTAGGGTCGGACCGCAGGGATCGTTTGGAAACGAGCTTCTTTCGGCAGGTGGGGCACTCCTTGTTTCTGCAGGCAAGATAATACAGGTCTCACTGTTACATACACACAGTACTGCAAATATATGTTGCAGTGTCCGTGCAGAGCGAATGCTGCCCTGTCTGGGTACTGCAACAAATCAATTTGTTTGATATTCCTATACGGTGGGACCTCTGATAATGAACCCCCCCCAACAGTGAACCTCTCTATAATGAGCATAATTCTATGTACCAACTGGCTGTACCATTATCTATCTGTATAGGCAAATGACGTGTATGAACCCCCTGCATGCACATGCATGATTGTAAATAGACTGAGAAAACTGCAGTATATACAACCTACAGCTTCGCGGTTGTCCAGGGATATGACAATGCAGTGCGTGGAGAGACCTATCTAGTGGGGGGGCCAGCCCCAAAACACTGAACCATCCCAAAAATGGACTCAAATGCCAGTTGACAAAGGAAACTATTGCTGCAGGTTTAATTTAATATCGCAGCAGAATGTGCAGGTTGCATGTTTCGTGGCAGAGAGTGCTCGTCGAGACTTACCCACTGCGCAGAGCTGTAATGATGCACTCCTGACAGAACCTGTGCAGACACTGCAGGGTCCAGGGCAGTAAGAGAAGGGAGGGAGAGAGAAGGGAGAGAGGGGGAGAGATAAAACAAAGAATTCTGTTTACTGCACACACACATGTTGTTACATTTCCTCTGGAGACCCAAAGGCAGGCGTAATAGGGGCTGTGCTACCTGCCAAATCGTGTAAAATCTGATAAACCGTTGCAACATTCCCTCGTGATCATTACAGGCACATCCAGCTTCACACGAAAATACACATCAACGTCATGTAGACACACACACAAAAATCTTACAAGTACCCAAGTCACTAGTTACAGTATTTGCAAGAAGATGGAGTTTGGTAGAGTTAGTTAGAGATACACGAATACTGCGGGAAATCTACCTCTTTCGTGGTCAGCGGGTTCTTCATAAGGTCCAGGCAGATGGGGCACATGAGCTCGCTGCGGAGGGCGCGCGGAGACACGGCTACGACGGTGGAGTCCGTCACCATCTCGTGCGGTTTGCGGTGCAACTCGTACGGACTCAGCTCTGCAGGAACGGGAGGAAGGGAGCAAGAAGAGATGCGGAACATCACAGGGCGGCCGCCGAGTGCAGGCACAGAAGGGCCGGAAAACAAAAATGCCTGCTGGCCTCGCTGGTGGATGCGAACGCGAAATAAACAAAATTCCCGCACGCGCATGCTCACGTGAGCACACTTCACCAGCTTTTTTGTGATGCACACAGGCGGAACCGCGAGCTTCCTACACACATGCATGCTTCTCTTTAGCAAAACGCTACTTCCCAAGCCTTTTGCAGCGACGTACACGCAGCTTCACTTTCCACTGTAATCGAAATCGCTCTACAAATACACCACACAGTCACTAATTTCTGACGGGGAAGTAGCTAGCTAAGCTGTCCTCGTTTTTCTACCCCAGTAACCAGACTTTCCTGAATAACGAAATCAGTCACTGGCCGGTAGTTTCCCGTCCTCCACCGACGACTAGGGTCAGGGGAGAGCACAAAACGCCCAGCCAGCTTGAGAGCCAGAATTATTACGCCAAACGTTCACCTAGCTATGAACGCACCCACCGACCATACCGACGGTGCAGGGGCGAATACCGCTCGGTGGGCCTGAGATCGCACGGAAAATATACAAACACGTCGAGCACAATACATAAACCCGAAGAGACTGCTCAGAAGCTACGAGCTGGCGTTTCAGTTACGGCACACGTTTACATCTGCAAGCACAGGTGGCCCGTCGACACGCGCCCCGTTCCAACTCACCCCACATATGGTCGTTGAAAGTGCTTGGGCCTGCCATGGCTATGCAGTCCCTTTTTCCGATGCAGCGTCTGGGCGAGCGGTGGCGGAAGAGGGTCCAGATACAGGACAGGCAGTGTCAGGACCAACCCCCGTCTACTCCTGCTACTCAGTACGCCTAAAAAGCGGTAAAGGTAAGGATACCGTATGTTCTAATTACGGAGGCTGCAGGTTTATTGTTGCGACCTGCAGCCCTCCGTCGCCGCTTGCGCCGTCATGTGTAACACAGAGTGACACTTGGACCACAACCTGACTTGTTGCATGGAGTGTGAACAGATACAATGACGGCATAAAAGTACATGTGACGCTGTTTTACAGCTATTCGGGCTGCATGCTGTTGGCACTGATATACGTAAGGGCCCAACGAAGATTAGTCAGCACAAATTTTAGGGCTTTCGTCCATCCCTCGAGCGTGTTGAACTGCGTCTTGACCGAGTAGAACTCCTTTCCGTTTCCGATGCGATCCTTAGAGATGGAGTAGGGGAGTGCAAATCTGGAGCCGCTGCTGATCTCAATGTGTTGCTTCAGCTGGTTGAGACAGTCGAGATAGGCCACCAGACCCAGATCAAACTTTGAGTCTGCAAATATCCTGAGTCCCGCCGAGCTGTACAGCGGGAGATGTTGGCTTTTCTTTTTCCCTTCGATGACGTCTACAAACGTCTGGTTCCCATAGGGCACCACTTTGTAGCGGACGAACGTAGCACCGGCGTTGCGAGCCAATGTGACAAGGAGGAGCGCGGCTTGTCCGAGCGCAGCATTGATCTCGCTCCACTCTACCGGCACGGTTTGGAGCCGCCCCAACCGAAGACCGTTGATTGTCCCAAAGTGGCCGTTGTGCCAGATGTGAAACGCAGAGTTGAGAACGTTGGTCTTCTTGAGTCGCTCTAGCTGTTCGGTCATGTACTGGAGCTGGTAGTCGACACTTCGCTGTTCCTCTCTGAACTGCAGCACTTGTCTCTGGTACTCGTTGAAGTTCTCCCAGTACGTCTGCTCCTCTTCTTTGAGTCGCCTCTCACGCTCCCTCTGTCGCTCCAACTCGGCGGCTATTTCACTGCGTTTTCGCTCCGTGTTTCTCAGTTTCTCCTTCAGTTTTTCCTCCTCCTGTTGCAGTTGCTCCAGCTCTCGGTCCAACTCTGGCATCTGTATTTTGTACTCTGTCACCTCCTGTTCCAGACGGGCGGACATCTGCTTGTACCGATGTTTTGCCTCCTCTTCCTCGACTATCTCTTCACGATATGCCTCGATGACGGCCTCGGGGCAGTCCGTACACAGAGGATGGTCCACGTCAGAGACGCTGGAGAGGAGTTTGAACGTCTCGGAGGCGATTTGGATTTGCTTCAGCGTGCTCTTGCTGTCCTGCCTGCTCCCGGCCGCCCCCGTCTCCGACAGTGGCGGTAGACTGTCGTAGATGACTGACAGGGTCTCCACGCTGCTCTTGACCCGGTGTCTGGTTCTAGTCTGCGGCGAGCTCCGCGGCAACGGAGGGGTTTTATCGTCAGCGGCGATCGCCTCTGCCGTATGCGGGTCTGCTGCGCTGGATTCGCGCCGATCTGAGCTCTGTCTCGCCGTTTCTTCCTCCCCGGACCACTCGAGGCTCAGCTTGCTCTCCACGTCCTTTGCCAGCTCCAGCAGGGACTTGGGGTCCAGGGTACGGTTGAGCTTGACCGGCTGGGAGCATTTCTGGCACACGAAGCTGACGTGCGTCGTGGACTTGCCCTGTCCTGCAGACATTGGTCTCTGTTACACTTTTCCACTAACGCTCATTTACAGGTCGTGCACTGCGTCGTCTCCCTGTCTCCCTTCTTCGAAGTTCACCAAAATAAACGCCAAACTCCGCCCACATAAAGAAACGTGTGGTGACCGCGTTTTTCAGGTGTCAAAATTTCGTGCGTGTGCAGAGCTAGCTAGAGAGACTGGTGAGACAGAAGGATCTCCAGCTAGCTAGTCATGGAGGTGCCACCGAACCAAACACTCTATATCAACAACCTGAACGAGAAAGTGAAGAAAGAAGGTGAGGTCGTACAGTGTGACTATCAGCTATCATCGCTCAAAAACGTTTTTTCCACGTTGTCCTGCAGAGCTGAAGAAGTCTCTCTACGCCATTTTCTCGCAGTTCGGTCCCATTCTGGACATCGTTGCCGTAAAGTCGCTCAAAATGAGAGGACAGGCGTTTGTGGTGTTCCAGGTGAGTGACTGAGTGCTCCTCCTCCCCTTACTCACTCACCTCTCCCCTTCTCTGGCAGGATATTTCGTCTGCTACAACTGCACTCAGGTCGATGCAAGGGTTTCCCTTCTACGACAAGCCAATGGTGAGTTTCCCGAGAGAGTATCCTCTGGGTGTCTTTCATACAACACGTGTGTTCAAGGTGGTCGTAATGTTTTGTGTTCTGGGGCGACGGCAGTTTCTTGAACTGCATTGCACAGCTCCTTTTTCGTCTCTCCCCACATCGCACACGCACCTCACACTCAAACACACTCACACGAACACACACACTCACTCCCCAATCACAAACACACACACACACTCACACACACACTCACAAACACACGTGCACACACACACACACACACACACACTCACACCTGACACGCGCACACACACGCACACGTGGCTAAAAACTGCAGCGGATTACATACTGCAAGTCAAAGTCAGACGCAGTCGCCAAACTGGACGGTACTTATGTGGAGCGCAAGAAGAAGGCCGAAGAGGAAGCCGTACCGACCAAGAAGGCCAAACAACACGCAGCTGCTGCGTCTGGACATACTCCGATGCAAACTGGTGCTTAGTGTTGTATTATAATCCCCTCTCTAAACCTACTTTCCACAAAAACTGGATGCTAAAGTATTGACAAGTTGTGTGTGGAGTGATGCGTTCTCTCCCGTCTTTCCCCGTAGCACCATCTCACTCTGGCGGTGGGAAAGAGGGACCGAATAAGATCCTCTTTGTCACCAACCTCCCTGAGGAGACCAACGAGATGATGCTGAGAGTCCTTTTTCAACAGTGGGTCTATGACGATGAACAGATTGCCGGTGATGTCATAATCATGGCATTTTATTCATGTCTACAGGTTCCCTGGGTTCAGAGAGGTCAGGCTTGTACCAGGTCGCAGCGATATTGCATTTGTGGAGTATGAGACAGAAATTCAAGTAAGTGTGTTTTTATGTCTCGTGACTGTGTAAGTGTGTAGCTTGGTTTGACTGTGCATGTTTCTGGCAGTGGTTTGAGGTTTGCTTTTGTGTTGTAGATTCGAACCCCTACCACAGCTGAGTTGTCCTGGTAGCTAGCTCAGTTGGTAGAGCGCTCATCTAGACTGCAGAGTGTTGTAGATTCGAACCCCTACCACAGCTTAGTTGCCCTGGTAGCTCAGTTGGTAGAGCGCTCATCTAGACTGCAGAGTGTCGTGGATTCGAATCCCACCTAGGGCAAAAAAAAGAGTTGTCCTCGGTGTAGTTGACCCGTTTGCTTTGCCTTTGCCTTTCTACCTCATCTTGTTGTTGACACATATATTATTACACAGGCTGGAGAAGCTCGGTCTTCACTGCAGGGATTCAAGATTACCATGTCCCACGCCATGAGAGTCGCCTTTGCTAAAAAGTGACACTCATCCGTTTGGCTGTATACTCGCTCGCCCTATTTTACCTGTAGTTTATGTTATCACTTTTGGTTTCAATAAACAACCTAATTCGGAAGTTGATATACATAGAGTGGTACGATTGGTTTTTAGTACTGACTTGGATGATGTAAGTGATATTGATTTGATGAGGCTACACAATACACGCTGTATGTTCAATGGTGGAGTAGGAGGATGGCTATGAGATAGGGGGAGGTGGCTGTCTATTTCTTGGAGGGATGTTTGAGTGCCATGCACAGGGCCAGCTGCTGGCAAAAGTCATCTGGGATCTCGGAGGGGAAGATCAGTGTCTCGTCCTCACTCGAACACACAGCCTTGAAATAAGGCTTGCTCCCACCTGCTAGTGTGTTCAACCTGCGTGTACAACAATCCAGTTACACTTCTATAATTATAGCACACTTGTCAGTAAAGCTACACCGTCTCTCCCTGCACATGCTTTCCGAAAGTATCGACCTAAGCCAGAATCTCTCTAACTGTGTGTGTTTTTCCAATGCTTTTCGAAAGTATCAAGCTAGCTACAACTATACAGTGGAACCTCCGATAAGGGACCCTCCGAGATAGGGATGGCCTCTCTACAAAGGACACTTGTTTCAACCCCATGCTGTGTATTATTTGACCTCTGAGATAGGGAAGACCTCTCTACAATGTACAAAATCGTCGGCCCCATGTTCAGAGGTTCCACTGTAGATTCTCTCAAACCTAAAGTACTAAAGTGCTTTCCGAAAGCATGCGTGGGGAGAAAGGATCTACATAGCTCAACTGTTGGACGGTGCGTTGGACTCATCTCTTACCGGACGCTGAATTTGTTGACGCAACCTTCACCCTTCTCTCTGACATCAGAGAACACCAGAGAGCGTCTGTGGAACTGTAGAATGTGTAGGATACGTACATTCACAGTCAAAATTTGCCACGGACATGATTAGCAAACCCATTGAGCCAATAACTGGACACTAATGGCATAATGCACCAACGGGACAGCAAGAAAGTGTCCATAATGGGAAAGGAAATGTGTCCTTATTAGGGAGGTGTCCTCATTTCAGGGAGAGGGGGTTCCACTGTAGGGAAAGAGGTGTCCTCATTTCAGGGAGAGGGGGGTTCCACTGTAGGGAAAGAGAGGTGTCCTCATTTCAGGGAGAGGGGGGTTCCACTGTAGGGAAAGAGAGGTGTCCTCATTTCAGGGAGAGGGGGGTTCCACTGTAGGGAAAGAGAGGTGTCCTCATTTCAGGGAGAGGGGGGTTCCACTGTAGGGAAAGAGGTGTCCTCATTTCAGGGAGAGGGGGGTTCCACTGTAGGGAAAGAGAGGTGTCCTCATTTCAGGGAGAGGGGGGTTCCACTGTAGGGAAAGAGAGGTGTCCTCATTTCAGGGAGAGGGGGATTCCACTGTAGGGGGATTCCACTGTAGGGAAAGAGAGGTGTCCTCATTTCAGGGAGAGGGGGGTTCCACTGTAGGGAAAGAGAGGTGTCCTCATTTCAGGGGTGTCCTTAGAGAGATGGGTTCTCCACAGTACTCACGGAGCCCATGTTCTTGTTGATGATTGAGGTTTCCGAAGGGTCGATGACAAAGTAGTGAGAGGATGCTGCCAGAGAGTCTATGTGCTTGCTCAGGTCTTCCAACAGATCCTCCTGTAACGTGCGTAGAGTTTTTAATACTAGAACGAATACTTGGTGACTGAATGCATGTCACACACCATGAGAAGTGACACCCATTGAATACTCACTCGCCCAATCTTAGTGTTATCATAATTGCCACTTTGGTTTCAGCAGTTTACACATCTATTTAGAAATACATACTAAGGCATTTCGGTACTTGTGGCAGCGTCGGATAAATAAAAGTAGCGCAAATCAGACGAATAGATAGGCCCGTTTCGCTTGCCAAACAATATTTCCTAGAGGGCTTCTTCAAGAGGGGCAGAGTGGTGAGGACAGAGACTCACCACAGAGGCAGTTGGCTCAGTGACAACGTCTTTGAGTGAAATGACCTGCATTTCTGTGGCAGTGAGGTCCAGATCGCCTACCTGCAGCCCTCTGTGCCGGGATACATAATTCATGATGGGTTACAAGGTGTGGCAGTATGCACTTTCTGACCGTATTACACTCTGCAAGGCTGAATCATGTAGGGAACGCAAACAAAACAAAATGAGTGTGTGGCATGGTTAATTTGGCACTATTGATCAAAATATTTCTACAACAATTTGACCTACTCCTGATTGTCTCAACTGTGAATGACATCTTTTTTCTCTTGGCATCACATGGTCTAATACCTTCATGTACTCATCTGGAATGTGTTTATGCTACAATTCAACCGACTAAACAACCTCGAATCAGAATGAACTCGGCTCCAATTCAACATGTTGTGTGTAATGTGCTTTGTGACTGAGATTGTGCTGGAAATGCCCACGTACCCATGGCAAAGACCAGCATGCTGTTGACCGGTCGCCATGCCTTCAGCTGTAGTCCAGTAAAGAACTCATGGGTCTTGTCCCAGATAGGCTCCTCTGCTCCTGACGACACATCTATGGACAGGAGTCTGTCACTGGACGAGAAGTACTCCAGAAATGCCTTGCACGCATTCTCATGCATATGGAACCTCCGCTGTATGTGTGTGTGTTAAGAGAATTTAGTGAATATATAATATGTTTGGCTACAGTGGAACCTCCGAACAAGGGATACTATGGGGCCAACGATTTTGTCCCTTGTAGAGAGGTCGTCCCTATCTCGGATGTGAAATAATACACTAAAGCATGGGGTTGAAACAAGTGCCTTTGTAGAGATGTCATCCCTATCTCGGAGGGCCCCTTATCGGAGGTTCCACTGTATTACCAGACAGAAAACATCTCAGTAAAGATTAGCTCGCACTTGTTACTTGGTTCTTGCTTATGACTGCCACCTTAGAAAGCCTAAGGCACCAAAAATTCATTCTTGCGTGGATAAAATTTCTCTTGTGTTGGATGAACAGTAGACCAGGATTTGTATGTAGTGAAAGAGTAGCTTGCCTTTGCTCTCCCGTTGTCTGCCTCGTCACCGACGGTGGCCCCTGGGGGTGCTGGGGCATTGTGGTGGGAGTAGTCCAATGTATTGTCCAGGGACTCCAGTCTATCACAAAAACACACGGAACATTATCAGAATTACTCCATTAACGGAAAAGCGTGTGAAGAGCAGGCTTGCAAGTTGCATGCAACGTCACTCCATTTGGAGCCAAAAATTCCCGCACGTGTACACAAAGATTGGCGAGTGAAGTACTCGTGTTTACTGGTGAAAAACGTGTTGCATTTGTTTGTTTTTTTGCTTTAAGTAGTGTGCACATGTAATTAATTGGAGAAATGATCAACTTGTGCTACATGATCCTGAGGCAGCGTTCTAGCCTGGCTAGCGCAAAATGCACCAGTCCTTGGAGGCAGACAGACACAAAGACAAGAAGGTAGGCTGGGTTCACAATAATATTATGTTGCATTGTCCTGTCGTGCCTTGTCACATTGTGTTGCGAGGATCTATCCTCAAGACACGGCATGTGGGCAGGGTGCGACGGAGCAATGTGACGTATTGTGATCCCAATCTTACACATGGAAAAGAAGGTGTGTTGACTGACCCGAGTGAGAGGTGGATGGCAAAGGAGATTGGACAGCGAGACTCGAAATTCTCCAGCTCAGTTGAGCAGTCTTTGATGAGGTGCTCGTCTCTCAGGAGCCACCTGTGGTATACACCACACGGGTTTGCACAGTTGCATCGCAAAATCCTCGGGCCTGTGGCTTCGGGCATTTCCGTTAAAGATGTTCCTCTTTGGTCAATGGCATCCCCCTGTACATAGTCTCCCTACCCAGATTGTGTTAGAGACATCTACGTACAGGTCTTGCTACTAGGCCGATGGCTGACCAATTACCCATTAGCTTCGTACCCAGACCCAGCCATCAGGAAAAGAAAAGGGTCTGGTGACTATTGAGTGATCTCTTTGTTGTGCTGACTCGACAGTCTTACTTTTGAGCCGCCGAATCAGATCGCAGTATTTTCCGCCAGCGTGAAATATCCCATGATGTTATGCAATCATTCATAAGCCATCTCCCCACATCCATGAACGAAAATGGGCCTTTTTCTACCTGTCTCGACAGTGATAAGTCAGCACAACGAAGAAAATGCATAATCAGTCACCATACCATTTCCCCCTCCTGTGGATCTGGGTATATGAGACTACCACTAGCTCATCCGAGATTGGGGACAAATGCACTTCACAGTGCTGGGTCTAGACTACCACTGAACTGTGTGTGTGGCTCACCTGAGGCTGGGGACGAGGTCAACCACAAAGATCTGGTCAGGATCAGACTCAATGTAGTGCTGGAGCAGTCTCAGGACCCACTCCAGGGACACGTGGCTTGGCTCCTTCCTCACCAGATCGGCTATCTCCTGTGGGGATTAGACCTTGATTAGAACCCCAGGGAGCTATAAGGAGGCTATTGTACGTATCAACAATGAGGTTTCAGGGCAAGAATGTGAACTTCGGGGAAGATCACATATTAGGTGTATGAGAATTTGCTTGTTGTACATTGAAAAGGGTTCTACTCTCCAACAAAAACTATGCGTTGGATCTGATCAACCACTGGTCGGGTCAGTCAACACACCTTCTCTTACCTGACTAAGACCAGTAACTGCCTCTATACAGTGGTGCTACACTGACACCAGGACCCATACGTACTAGAACGAATGCAACACAGTTTTGGCGAGTGAACACGAGCAGTTCAATTTTTCACACGTGTATTTTGAATCGTGTAGAACATTACGGTATGTGCAGTGCCCGTCACAAACAAAATAGGCTCGTTTTGTCACCAATTTAAAAAAAAACGTAAATCAACATACATTCTTAATGTTCCAAACTCACATCGACTGAGTTGATCTTCATCGAGTGAGCCACCTTCTTGGGGAGGTACTTGAGGATGATGCTCTCCACGGAGATTAGCCTCATACCAAACATGGAGCGAAGATTGGCCACCATGCGACCCTTCCCCGATCCTGGACCACCTGAAAGAAATACATTGGTGGAACCCCTCTCTAAGAACACTTCGGTAATAAAAGGCCAACAACACACAGATTTGCACTTGTTGTAGCTATGGGCCCACCACACCAATACTTTTGGAAGTTAACTTTTGTTGCAGCAACCAAATTGCCCCGTGCATATTGGCCTCAATAATAAGACCTTTCCTCTCTCCAAGACCAGTTTCTTGCATGCAGTAAATAAGGATAACACACGAATATGGACACCTAGAGAGGTTCCACTGTAGTACAAACATTTCTACGCTAGAAGACGGTGGATGCAAACGCAATTGTGATGTCTAGGTCCAAATATACCGAGGATGGCAACAATCTTGGTGTGTGGCGGAGGCTGGAATTTGACGTTGCTGCCGACGTTCACCCGTATGACAGGAGGCGGTGCTACGACGGATTGCCGCCGCTTTGCCACCTCCTCAATACCTTCCTCGACAGCCGACGAGCTGCTCTGACTGCATCCCATCGCGACCAGCAGCTGCAAAAGAAAGAAAATCTCTCTGTTTGGAAAAACGTTGTTGCTATGGTGTTTTGCTGGCACGTGGGGGCCTGCTCTTTTTTAACGGATCGCACGTGTCAATCCTTTTCGGAAAATTGAACTAAGAGGGGATCGGGGAAGAAAGGGAAGAGGTAGGTATCTGTATCCGTCTAAATCTGCTTTGCCGATGCCGTGAAAATCATCCCAGTGCAGTGGTGTAGTTAGATTTATTGTCTTTAGAATGCCGACTCCGCTGAAGTCGGTACCTATCGTCAAGAAGCGGACGAAGAAGTTCATCCGACACCAGTCCGACCGCTACAAGAAGATTAAGGTAGCTTTGCTGTGTTATCTACCGCATGCAGTCCCCGTGCTCCAGGGTTTCCCATACTATTAGCCAATAAAACTTAGCAACTAAATTGTGATATTGTGAACCAGTCCTAGAGGTAGCCACCGTTTATAATGGAAGATTTTATGTGCATGCACAGCATGGATAGCTAAAGATTTTTCTACTGTGGGAACCATCAGTTTGTTATAATAGTACAGTGCAGGTGTAGGGGAATATGTTGTCACGCCACCAGTGGTGTATCTAGGATTTTGAAAGTGGGGGGGGGTTACCGCTGTCCAGAACGTTTTCGACTGCGCTCGTGCACGCTCACAAGGCCTGCGACGCATGCGCGCAAAACGACAAAAAGGGGGCAAGGAACCCCCCTGGGTCCACCACTGGCCCATACACCCAACTTCCGTTTCCCTTCTCACTGCGCTGTCTACTTTCTATTGCAGCAAAAATGGAGGAAGCCGAAGGGCATTGACAACAGAGTGCGGCGGAGGTTCAGAGGTCAGTACCTGATGCCCAGCATCGGCTATGGCTCCAACAAGAAGACTCGTCACATGTTGTCAAACGGGTTCTACAAGTTTGTCGTCAACAATGTGAAGGTGAGTGTTCTTCCTCTTACAAGTGTTATGACACTGCTCAAACTGGGGGCCACCTAATTTTGCACTCGGGAAACCTTGTGAATTTTTAAAAGAAACTTGAGAAATTTGTGGATAAACCTTTCACAGATTGCTTGCTGTTATGCATAGACCCACCCGCATAATTCACAGAGACTCTTTGCACCGTTTTTTGCTCTATCCAGCTGTACAATATTCAGTACAATGACGTGTAGTAATTGGAGTAATCTTGCCATGTATAGGAACTGGAGGTGTTGCTGATGTCGAACCGACGCTACGCTGCGGAGATAGCTCACTGCGTGTCCTCTCGTAAGAGGAAGGCGATTGTGGAGAGGGCCCAGCAACTGGACATCAAGGTCACTAACCCCAATGCCCGTATCCGCTCGGAGGAGAACGAGTGACAGTCACCACACTGACCCACACCAACTATTATTGTTATATTGGCAGATGTGTACAGTTGTGAGAATTGATTTTATGACAAAAGATGGTGATACCACATTTGACAAGTACACACGATAATATATACACAAACGACATGTGGAAAGTATGGTGATTTTGCAAAGGTGGTATATTATAATTATATACACTAATAATAATATGCACGCTTCTATAAAATCACACAGGCTAATAGCTAATTTCTTCAACTACACAAATAGACAATAGTAACCAGAAAGTAATGACCTGCTATATAACGGGAGTACAATTCTGACAGTGATAATTACGGGGGCACTGGGGTTGAGGGGTGGCTCTAGAGAGCGCTCCTACTATCAGAGTTGAGTTGCCAATTGTAGTCCCTGGAGGTCAGGGTGATGGGGTGGGCGGAGTCCAGGAGTCTCTCCAGCTGAGATCGGGTCTCCTCTGGCAGGTAGCCACACAACCACCTGTGACAATAGTCAGCGTGATTGATTCTACAGTGTTATGGTATTGCCTGGACAAGATAGAAGCTACATGTTTGCAACATCCCCGAAAACACCATCCTCCGTAAAACGTGAGTAAATTTTACTCCTCAAGGACAGCCAACTGTCCACTGTTCTCCAGAAAGGTGAGTTTAACTACATTTATGGTACATTTCTATACAGATACTCATGAGGGTATATGCATCATGTATGTGTGGTGAACTCACTGCAGAAGCTGTCTCTCCGAGGAGCCAAAGTCGGAGGCATACCAGTGGAATATCTTGCTGGTGGTGACAGTTCTCCTGCCCTCGTCCACCGCCACCTCCTGGGAGCAGAAACTCTCCGCAGCAGTCGTGAGAGCCTGCTCAATGTTGGAGCTAGAGTAGACCTGTATCGCTGGACACGACTAGAAAACAAACAGAGAAAGGTAGAGTGAAACGTCTGAATTAGGGACACCTGTAAGTGAAACGTCTGAATTAGGGACACCTGTAGGGGACATTGGAAGTGTCCTTTATTCAGAGGCGTCTTTTATTCTGGGGTGGTATGGCAGACTGACCTTTGCTCCACAGACGAGGGCAAAGTGTATCCGGGCATCGCAGGATTTAAGGGCAAACTGTCTCCGAGGATCGTCCTCGGAAAACGGTGGTTTATCTGCCATCGGATGCGGCCTGTTTCCTGTGTGTGTGTGTGTGTGTTTATAGTAAGATGAAAGGATTAGACACTTTCTTGCTATATACTGGAAAATGTGGTGGGTGAAATTTGGATGTTTGGCGGTTGCACTTGGTAACTTTTGGGAATGACGTTCAATTTTTCACTCGTATTTAGAATCACGTGGAACGGTATGGTATATGTGCAGTGCCCAGTGCCCATCACAAACTCCCGCAGTAACAGACGACTAGGTAGGCTTGATTGATTAGCTCGCCAAAGTAACGTATACCATCTGTGGCACAATTTACTAATTGCCACCAATTATTTCCGGTAAGCAAGATGAAATAAGGAGACCTCACCTCTCAGGACACCGTGCTCAATGTCGTCCAGGGAGAAGAGGTGACCTCCTATATTGTAGGCAGTGAGGGCCCAGAATCTGTCCAGCTCCAGGACAGATGCTGGGAGAGGGTCTGCTCTTGCCAGACCGTGCACCGTTAGTGCATTGTACACATCTGCAGGCACATGGCGGCTAAGGAATACATATAGGGAATTTTCCTGTTAATTATTCTGTTAATTCTGTCTACTCTGTCTAGCAATAATTATATTTCGCAAATATGTTTAGAACCATCTCTAAGGACACCCCTGAAAATAAGGACACACACTTTATTTTTCCAGTAGAGTCTTGCATGCATTTTTAACCCCTGAAATAAGGACAGCTCACTAATATGGACACACTCTTATGTTCAGTTTGTAGAGGGGTGCCATAGTATTCTTTGGCAAATTATGACAATGGTTTGAGGATACTGACAAAAAACGCTTTTTTCTCATTGTCGTCAAGCTCAGTCAGATCGCAATCGCACAGTTGTCTGGCTACACCCTCGTAGTCCTGAAACAGTCCACTGGACCTCAGCTGGTGATAGTGGACCTCCCGCCCGTCCTCTGACATGTACTGACCCTTCAGTCTCAACATTGTCTTCTGCAGCTCGAGCGCCAACGGACCAGGTGGGCGGCGCGCGCCGGAACGACCGGCCTCCTCCGAAGAGTTCAAGACGTGAAGTTTGGATGACATAACTTTTAGTCACTACTCTTCTTTCGACAGCTCTTGATACTTTCTCTTTCTCTCCTGCGCTACTGCATAGTTCTCTTTCCTTCGCTCAGCTACCTCTCCCTTGAGACACTCGTTCAGCGAGCGCTTGAGCTGGTTGCACGACCCGAGGAACTTTCGGAGAGGATGGTCCTTGTGGCACTTTTCCAACTCACGAATGATCTCCTGGCACTTCTGGCTGTGCAAATGAGGCGCCAGCGACGGGTGCATGGAGTCTGAACTGTGAGGGATTTTCTGCCGACTCGATCCCTGCGCCGCTGTTTGTTCGGAAACTGCTCTAGAAAGCGCGAAGGTCAGCTGACCGTGGAGTCGTTCGCGGGTCTATCGATCGAGTGGGCGTAGGTCCACATGCGCATGCGCATAACTTGACCACAACTAACTAACTATACCTCACACGGGGGGGGGGGCACATTATGTGAAATTTACACTGATTCAGAGGTTAAAGCTCTGAACTAAGACTCCTCTACTCTGGAGTGAAGGTAGTCTCTGGCCAGCAGGGCACAGTTCATTGCTCCAACAGCACTCATCTCCATGGCACTCGCTGCCTTCTCGATCCCATTCACATAGAACACCCCTTGGTCCAGTTCAAACGGAGGAAAACTCTCCGGTGGGGTGTAATTAGGATAAGCAGACCAGTCTATGGTGGCCTCGGCATCGATTGTCTTAAACATTTGCCGTTTCTCCTCCCCAGAGAGAGGTCGAGGGGTGAAGATCTTCCACACGCGAGATGGGTCCTCCGGGAGGGGTTTGCTGTACGCGGCGTTTGCAGACTCAGGCTCTTCAGAGGGGACAAGAACACCCACACAGCAGAACGGAAACGGAGCCAGGCTCTGCGTGGTATCAGTGATCAGGTGAAGGAGGGGGAAACTCCTGTCGTTCTCGTCCAATCCGAAAAAGGCGGGGTTAATCTCCCCGGCGACAAACTCCGCGACGGTACGGTGGTACGTGGTGGCCATCATTTCCTCGGTGTACACCGGAGTGGGGAAGTCCCTGAACTGAATGGCCTTGTCGTGGAGCGGAGCTGCTATTATCACGACGTCATACTCCCCTCGCCCCGCCCCCTCGTCTTCCTCGTTGGTCTCCACTGTATACCTCGCCCTCCCCCCTCTCTCCCTCCTCGTCACGGATGTCACCGAACACTTGTGCAGGTGAGCTCCAGATTTCTCCAGGGCTCTCTCAGGGATCATTTTGTTTCCCCCCACCACTGACCAGAGACTGTTCTCCTGAACTCCAGTTTGCGACGCCATACACGTCAACGCATTGACGTTCAGTCCTTGACCGTAGTTCAGGTACATTGCCCCTGTAATCAGCTCCCTCGTTAAGGCCTCTTGCAGGCCTAGGTCACGTAACATGTACTGCTCGGCTGTGATCTGTGTCAGGTGATACAATTCCTCTCCTCCCATGGCCCTCAACAGTTCTGGAACCGTCTTGAACGATTTCCCCATTGCCTGCATGTCGTAGATCCCGACAAACTTGCTCAACATTCTCTCACCGGCAGAGTTCATTCTGAAGAGGCTCATTCCGTAGCGCCAGAGAGAGCGGACGATGTTGGCTAGTTTCCACCAGCCCGTTCGAAATAAATACTGCTCTCCGTCATACACACCCAGCGGTATCTCCGTCACGTTCATCATCTTTGACTCCAATCCTGGGGAAATAGAGACAAACACAACGACTTGTAATAAACTTCATGTTGCAGAGGGAATGAGGTAAGGGAGAGGGAGAGAGTCAGAGAGAGAGAGAGAACTAGAGAGAGAAGGGGAAAGACCAGCCCTTGTCTGGGAGGTGTAGCACTAATGCACTATGCTTAGCTAGTGCCACTTCCAGTCGCAATGCCCAGAGTTTGATAAGTTCGTTCTTCCCTTTCCCTCCTGAACCTGTGTATTTCTAGTGACACAACTATCTGCTCACCGAACTCCTTGGCGAGGTCCACCAGGTACTTGTTGCTGGTGTGAATGATGGAGGCCCCCGTCTCGTACGTGTGTCCCTGGAAGGTAAAGACGCCCGTCCTCCCGCCTACCGCGGCTCTCTCGAACACGTCCACCTCAACAGCCTCGCCTCCCCTCTGCCGCAGGAAGTACGCCGCAAGAGAGCCCCCAATCCCGGCCCCTACTACGGCCACTCGGGCTGGAGCAAGAGTAATAGCTTCTTCTTTCTCCCCCTCGCCGCCTTGTTCTTCCTCGGCGGAGAGGAAGCTCCGGAGGAACGGGACGTACGTAGACAGCTGACGGAGCGCCATCGCAAACACCCAAACCCTAGCTGGGCTTAAGACGAGCAGAGCATCGAGTTCGACACTCTGAGCATGGGCAGGGCGGCAAGAGGCTAAACCCAGGTGGAGAGGGTTAAAGGTCATTGGACTTCGATCCAGCCCACGCCATGCTGACGTCATGAACTTTATGAAAGTGGGCGTATCTCATTCTCTTAGCTGAGGAGAATCAGAGAAGGGAAAGGAGTCACCCAGTATGAGTGCCGAAGCGGTGAAGGTGATTGTGCGATGTCGTCCGATGAACGAGCGAGAAAACAAACTCAACTGCGAGGTTAGCTAGCTAATGGCTGTAGCGGCTATTCTTTGTGTTCTCCATGGCAACGACCAAACAACGTGGCTCGTCCATCCATCCAGCCAAGCATCACTCTAGCATAACCCTCAGCTACGAAAGTAGTTATAGTGTCCTCTGGCGCACCATCAAAACCATGACGTGGCGGTGTCTTGCTCTAACCTGCAGGCGGTTCTGTCAATGGCCACAGACATTGGACAAGTCCAGCTTAGGAAACCAAAGGCAAAAGACTCTCCCTTCAAACTGTTCACTTTCGACGGAGTCTTCTACACCCAAGACACCACTGAGCAGATATACGAGGTACATAGCTACATTCATGCCACTAAAACTCGCCTTTTCTGTATAATATCTGTGCTCATGGATCAGATCCCAGCGGGGGAACATGGCTATTAGTAGAAAACTTGGAAACCTTCTGCCATGAGACTGCTAGAGGCCCTAGACTAGAAACCTATCCCTTCTTTCCCTACCACACACACACACACACATCCTATGCAGGACATCTGTTTCCCGCTAGTGGAGGGTGTTCTGAACGGCTACAACGGCACGGTCTTTGCCTACGGTCAGACGGGCTGTGGAAAGAGCTACACTATGATGGGGGTCGATGACCCGCCGGCAAACCGAGGGATAATCCCGCAGGCATTCGACCACATTTTCGACCATGTGGCGGTGAGCGTGGGGACCAGGTACCTACTGACAGCCTCGTACCTGGAGATCTACAACGAAGAAGTGAGGGATCTTCTGGGGAGAGACGTGAAGAAGAGGCTGGAGCTCCACGAACACCCGGAGAAGGGCGTCTACGTTCAGGATCTCTCCAGCCACAAGGTGTGTAACCCGTTTGCTACGTGTCTCTCTTGCAGGTTTTTCATGTGGTATTTTATCTATGGTATGCTGCACAGTCAAACATTATATGGCTGGTATGCTATGAACTATAATTTCATGCTGCACAGTCAACCATTTAAAGAGATGTGCAAATTATAATACAGTACATATTTCTTTAGATCGATTCTTGATTACGATCCGGGGAAACCTTTGCAGTAGCGTGTGGCCATTTTTATCAGGCGAGAATGTGTAGGAGAGGGAAATGCAGTGTGTAGATGTGTTGTACGATATTATGTGAACTAACACAACCGTGCTTGCTGAAGAGAAAGAGAAAAGAGGACTGCAGTAGCCAACAGACAAATATAGGTTATCTGCAATGTGATTAGTCATACACCATGTGCAGCTTTGTATAAACTATTTTAAAAAAATGCCGCATGAAAAGAGGGAGAAAGGAGGGCTGTATTAATTTCTATCTTCAATGCCGTGTGTTGAGTTTCACCAATTAATGATGCAGGTGCACAATGTTGGTGACCTGGGCAGAGTGATGGAGTTGGGCAGCAAGAACCGCTCCGTGGGGGCCACTCTCATGAACGTGGACTCCTCACGCTCCCACTCCATCTTCACCATCGACATTGAGATGGTGGGGGAGGGGGCGAGCGGGCTCCGAGTGGGCCGGCTCAACCTGGTTGACCTGGCCGGAAGCGAGAGACAGTCCAAGACTGGGTCCACTGGGGACAGACTGAAAGAGGCCACGAAAATCAACCTCTCGCTCTCTGCTCTCGGGAACGTCATATCTGGTGAGATTGACGGATGCACACCGCACACTTTGCTGCGTGGGACAAAGTCTCATTCAACTCCAGTGTATGGGTATAATGGTCCATCCAACATCTTGGTGTGGTGTTTACCATCCAATATGTTCTATGGATCCGTACATTGAAGATCCATTAAACTTTTGTCTCACACAACAAACATTTGTTGGCCTGGAATTCTCATTGCATGGTAGACCGAGAATGAGACAAGTAAATGCGGCTGAGTGCTGTTTTGCACTGTTCTTGTGTGATGGGGTGTTGTATATATACTCCCAGATTCGAATTTTCTGGAAATTCCTACCCATCTTTCTCTTCGTCTCTTTCCCTCACTGGACTACGTACATATATAACCTTCTACCATTACATCATTGTGACCTACATAACCCCCGCCTGCAGCTCTGGTGGACGGTCGCTCCACCCACATTCCCTACAGAGACTCGAAGCTGACTCGTCTACTCCAGTCCTCACTGGGAGGCAACACCAAGACCATCATGGTGGCCTGCATTAGCCCAGCCGACAACAACTACGACGAAACTCTCAGGTACACGTACGTAATGTACAGTATAGTGTGTTAGAATTGAGAGAGCAACTTTGCCACACACATACATACTCTAATACCTCCACTCTCTCAAAAAACTAATCGTCTTTGAAAAACAATCACTCGAGATGCAAAACGACCAAGAATAATGAAACCAAAAACAAAGTACATAGTACTCTACAAGTAGTTCAATTTTTCGCAGGTACATTTAGAATCTATAATATGACATTCACGTCATATCCACATTCAGATGACTAGGCAGCGGGCTCGCTTCACTCGCCAACTAAGGCAGCTCAGAGCAAAATCCCCTCACAGTTATGTGAAACTAATGTCAATTCTCTGATCCTCTTCTTCCCCCAGCACCCTGCGCTATGCCAACAGAGCCAAAAACATCAAGAACAAACCACGAGTCAACGAAGACCCGAAGGACGCCCTCTTGCGGGAGTACCGCGAAGAGATTGAGAAACTGAAGCAGCTGTTGTCCGGGGGAGGGGGAGGGGGAGGGGCTCCGCTGGAGACCACACCCACTGCAAGAGAGAGGGAGGGGGAGTGGGAGGAGGAGGAACGACGTCATCGTAACTGGGAGGCCGAGAGGGATGCCATCAGTAGAGAGTACGAGAGGAAGATGGCAGAACTGAGGCAGCAGTATGATCAGTGAGTCGCGGAACAATATTTGAGGGTGTTTTTTGTACACTCGATGGCAACTATACTTTGGGCCACTAACTCCTTGATAACATGAAACTTCATAAAACGCCTTCCTTTTTCTTTCAATACACAGTTTAACACCACACCCCACTTTCACAGCAGTGTTTCCTCTCACTCTTTCACCCACACTCCACTCGCCTGAAAACACCCATCTTCCCTCTCCCATATCCCCAGAGTGCATGCAGACAAAGCCAAGCTGCAGGATCACCTCTCTGAGCTACAGCTACAGCAACAGCTGGAACTGGAGAACCTGCAGAACCGGTTGAACCAGTCGGCCAACCAGTCCACCAGTGGCCCCCCAGGGGTACCCCCTACCACACACGAAACCAGACCACCAGGAGCCAATGTGAGCCACCAGTAGCCAAGTGTGTTTGTAAGCAGCTGTTAGGAAGTCACCTCTCTTTGAAAGTGAACAATGTACTAGAAAGTGAACATTTGGTACCTTGAGTAAGGGTGCTACAATCCTTCCCTATAGCTACAGGTATCAGCCACAGGAGGAGCAGGTGAGTCTCAGCAGTTGATAGAGCACGAGGCGGCACTGCAGAGGCTGGAGGAGCTCCAGGGGACGATGATTGGAGGAGAGAGGGCGGGGGACGTGCAGTTGAGGGAGGGACTGGAAGAGAGGAGGAGGAGGGCCCAGGACAAGAGAGAGATGCTCCTGAGAGCCAGCAGAACTGCCGACGATGACGACGGCATTATTGAGGGGATCTTCAACTCTCTCACTGGTATGTTTATACATACGTATGGCCAGATACTCTCTCCGCTAATGGAAGTATAATTATGTATACAGGCTATATATATAGAAACTGCTACTAAAATGGAAATTAATCACTGGCCCCTCCCTGTTCCATCTTTGGTAAATTTAGCCCTAGTTTACTGCCCACATTTCCTAGTATCTTTAGCGCCGTTCAGTGGTGCATCTGCTGTGTAACTGGAGAATTTGGCAGTCATTCAAACTAATGGGGATTTTAGCGGCTTCACTTGGAGTGCTCTGCTGCTTTACTACGAATAGTCAAAATCGCCACAAGATTTCACACGGGCCACCATGATGGTCTTGGTGTTGCCTCCCAGTGAGGACTGCGAGTAGACGAGTCTTATGGACTCAATTGAGATGCACTATACAGTGTGTAACACTCTCATTCGAAACAGCTTGCATGTGGCCCGAGATGATTACATCACAATTGGTAATCTTACATAACACAGTAATATCTAGTATATAGTCACATCAGAGACATGCTTGCTCTACACAGTGGAACCGCCTTCAAAGGACACTCTGAATCAAGGTTTAAATCCGGTCCTCAACCCCTCAATAACAGTACTATAAACGACAATTTCATGTGTTGCAGTGTGTTGCCACGTTACCTGAGCCCTTACAGGATAAACAACCTCAATACTGTAGAAATACCGTTGTCACCCTGATTGTTGTCATGCACAGTTCACCACAGACCTGTCACTCTGTCTCTCTTGCCATCTATAAAAGTAGTCGCTGTAACCTATGACCAGAGTTTCCATACTGACTTGAGCGACCCCTGTTGAACTGTGCTGCCAGCAAAAGCCCCGCTACACATGGTTACAGCATGACCTTTATGAAGAGGTTCCACTGCATTGGCTGAATAGCTCTCCCTTGAAAAGGACCATTAGCATTCCTCGGCTCTTGAAATGAAAAGATACGGCTAATGATGATTGCTATCTCTCTCTCTCTCTCTCTCTCTCTCTCGTCTCTCTCTCTCTCTCTTCTCTCGGTCGTCAGACGAGGTAAGAGCCAAGTCCAGGGCTCTGGAGAGGACAAAGATGAAGCTGCGCTCGGCTGAAGAGGACGTTTCTGATCTTCAGACTGAGTTTGAATTGGAGAGACAGGGCTACCTCGACACTATTCGCAACCAGGTGTGCAACAAAAACCTTTTGTGACAAAAATACATGACGCAATTTTGCCAAACCACAAACTGTGCTAACCAGCCAACCGCAGGGTGTTTGTTACCAAATCTCAAAGATGTTTGTTGTCTAACTGAGGGTGACTTGTTCAACTGGCACATTTTTCATGTACATACCAAGCTTTTTCACTAACTATGAAATGTCCAGCTAGTAGATGATCGATCGATGAGAATGCTATATATCAAATATTTGCAATGAGACTTTGTTTGTCATTGCAGGGTCGACTGTTGAAACTCCACCACCACCTCCTGGAGACTGTGGCCGGTCTCATACGGAGGGACTGTAACTACTACAACATTGAGAAAGATCAAACACGAGTGTACGTGGGACCTGGACCGCGAGGAGTGGAACGTACCGCCCGTCATCGTCACCAAAACCAGCCTCTCTCCCGTCTCCTCACACAAGTCCCTCCAGAGAAAGAGTGCTTCCACGTCTACTCTATCAACGTCCTCGAAAATGAAAGGGGCATCCCCATCGACCTCTCCCCGGGGTGGTACCCACGGGGGGACAATAATGGAGGAGGGGGAGGGGGAGGGGGAGTGGAGGGGGAGTGGGGCAGAAATGGACTATTTCAAGCCAAAGAGGGCTCTTGAACTGCTGGCTGAGGGTGCTCAGTTGAGAGGGGGCGTGTGTCAGGGGGCGGGGTCGGGAGTCTGGCAAACTCTGCCTCCGTTCACGGTCTGGAGACTCTACTGGCAGGTGATATCGGAGGTTCCTCCCGGAGACGAGGTCGACTCCAATCTCTCCCAGCTACCTCTGCCTACAGTCCACATTCCATTCCTCATCATGGTCCCCATTCCATACCACAGCCCAGTCTCCATTCCATACCACAGCCTGGCCCCCATCCCCATGCCATCACAGCCCCCATTCCATACCACAGCCCAGTCTCCATTCCATGCCACAGCCTCATCCCCATTCCATGCCACAGCCTGGTCCCCATTCCATCCCACAGCACGATGTACTGGAGACGGTGGAACGGAGGAAGAGTAAGTGGCGTAGTCTGGAGCCTTTGGACAAACGAAGACCGCCATTTTCATGAGAGGAAACACTGTAGACACAGCCGTTGTTTTTATGTGTGTCTTTCTTTTGGAAGAACTTGTACATGAACACACAGACATTGATGACTGCCACCCCATGTCATCAATTGTGAATGTGACGTTTATCTGTCTTTGTATGTACAGCTGAACACACAGTCGGTAACGTACATTATATAACTCCCTCCTATATAATATGTAAAGTGAATATAAGTCGCTACAACAACTCAAGTGTAAGTTCTTTGGTGGTCCACCCTATAACTGGGTCAAGGTGCAGTCATCATTTATATGCTTCCTACATGAACAACCTCAAATTCACAGACACTATAATTATAATACCCGTTATTGCACTTTATTTCACATGCGTTGTGCACATTCTTTATCTGTAGCTCCAAGGGTCTCTGCATGTGCAGCGCATATTATTATTATCTCAACAATCTGAGCAATCAGAGAAAATGTTTAATCACGTCTTGTAAACAATATTGTGCACTTATCATAAGGATGTCTGATGCATATACAGTGTATTGTTCTAATGGATGTGCATCTACTTATATTACAGTACTTAGTATTCTAGGGATGGTCAGTTATGAGAGGGGTGCTAGGTTGAGGTGTGTCTACTGATGACTCATCACCACTTTCGTCTGACCCCTCCGATGAGGAGGAGGAGGAGGGGGAGGGGAGGAGGAAGCTTTCTTTGTAGCTGCTGGTTTCTTGCCAGGTGCACCAGCTGGCGAGGTGTGTCTTGTACTCTCTTCGCTCTCACTCTCAGACGAGCTGTCGTCTGATTCCGTTCTGAGCTGTGGTTTTCTCTAAGGCCTCTAGCTGGTGGTGAGGTTAGACTGTACTCCTCGGGACCGCCCAGAGATCGTATGGAGATCTTTCTGGAGCCAATTGCCTGCTTCGATGGATCTCTTGGTGATCGCAGAGCCGGGTCACGGCGCCTGCTGAACAGCTGCTGTGAGGAGTGAGGGTAGGAAGGTGAGGTTGTGATGGGTGTGGAGTGAGGAGGTGATAGAGTGTGCAGCTGTGACGGGGTGAACTGTGACCCTGGGGAGGTAAAGGAAGGTCTGCCTGGTGTAGTGGCAAGGGGAAGGAGTTTCCTTGGTGCAATAGGTCTAGGTGCAACTTGGTCATCTTCTTCTCCTTCACTCTCTTCGTGTATGGTGGGTGGGTGAGTTTGTCCTGCCAGCATTGATAGGGTGGTCCGGTTTGAGCGAGGTGTGGTGTAGAGGGGGGGAAGGCTAGGTCTTGAGGGAGTGCCGAGTGTGGGTTTGGAGGTGGGTGGTGAGGTGGTGAGGGAAGGTAGGGTGGGCTTTCTGGGAGTTGTGAGCGGAGGGAGTGGTGGCTTTGCAGGGGAAGTGAAGGAGGGTGTGGCTAGAGAAGGCTCGAGACTCAGCGGAGATGCGACAGAACTTCTCTGGAAAGAGCGCCGGCTGCGAAGCAAACTCCTGAAGTCGAGCGGAGTGGCAGCGGATATGCTTTGTCTCTCGGGGAAGATGGATGGGAGTCGGTTCTGCTCGTCCACAGGAGAGAGAGCAGTTGAGGACGGGTGGCGACCGAGAATGCTCATCCTCTGCTTCTTCTCGCTGAGTCGCCCGCACTCCTTCTGGTGCCGCTCAACCCAGTCGCTCGTCTGACACTCCGGACTGCAGTAACCCTGGGCACTGCAGCTCGAACACTCAAACTGTGCCGCGTTGCCACACACGCAGAAGTGGAGTCTGGTGAGCTCTGTCCCCGTATCAACTCTCCGAACAAAGATGGGCTTGTCGGCTTCGTCCCCGTAGACTAGACTCACAAACTGCTGCTGTTCTGTCGGCGGTTCGATGTCCACTAGCTGCCGAGTGAGGAAGTAAAACGGCTTCCCTTTGAAGCCGGCAAACTGGTCGTGGAGGTGATAGCGGAGCTCTCGAAGTCTGATGGAGGGGAGAACGTTCATTGACCCCACCACCGCTCTCTTGCCTCCCTCCTGGAGCTCAATGATAGGCATGGGCACCTTTGATTCCTCTGGAGTCAGTGGGCCAGTTCGAGCTCTCTTTGGTCCGTCCCTTCCCTCCTCTCCCGACGGACCTTCGCTGGGCGCAATCTTCAAAACCTTGGCCCTCTTCTTCTTTAAGACCAGGAAAACCACCACGACACATAGAGCAGCTGCTACGATGAGGAACACAAGGATGATGGGAACAGCAACAGCGGCTGGAGATATCCCAGTTTGTTCCACGGCCGGGGGTTCAGTTGGGGAAGATATGGGGGTGGGAGTGGCGGAGGGAGAGGGGAGGGGTGAGGGTGACGGGGTGGGGGTGGGAGAGGGAGGAGGTGGGATAACAGGAGGAGGGAGAAGTCCCACGGCAAACTCGGTGAGGTGGGAGTAGCTACACTGGCAATAGTCAACTGAGTCCACGGACACACGAGACGGTGGAGAGGTTTGATTCAATCTGCCAGAGATGGTTTGAGAATCCATGTCCTCCACCAAACTCCCTATACAGACAGAGTGGAATACTGCCGTTGGCCCAGTCTTCATCTCTGACAGGAAATAGGATCACAAATTCCTGGTCCGAGTCAGCCACGACCAGGAACTCATTCTGGGATGGAATAGGGACACTCAGTGAGAGAACACTGGACACTAGCTCAGTTGCCTGGGGGTCGGACCCCTCAATTTCAGAGATGATTTGTTCCTCAGCCGTTGGAGCCAACTGGAAACGATCGTTGACAAACAGGTCAGACGAGTACTTTACCGAGAGGAGACAGGTTTCGAAACAGGTTTGCCGACTCTGGGGGCACGCCTGGGTGGAGTATGACTCCTCCAGACTTACTCCATACTCCACTAGGTTTCCACTGATATTGACCTGGAGGGTGGGCGGAGCCTTGTACGTTACAAGTTCCAAGAGTGATGACATCACTAACGAGGGGGCTTCCCCATACACCATTCCCTGGCAGAGAGTGAGTCCGATCTCTTGTACTGCTGCGGCAGAGGTCGCGAGAAGGTTGGCGGGCATGTCGGAGCCGGAGACGAGCTGGGACCAGGTTACTAGGAGACTGGTTGCCGTGGAGATGGGGAGACGGGAAGAGGGCGAGGCCACACCCTCGACTGGGCGGAGCTGAAGAGGTTCGTTGTTTCGGTCACTGTCACCAGCCAGTGGTAGTGTGGGTATTGCAGTTTGGCTCTTGAAGAATGAGGTAATGGTTGTCAGAGCAGATACGAGGGAGTCACTAGGGTCGCTGTGGGTAGTGAGGAGAGAGAGGAGACGTCCGGCCAGCTGGTAGTGGGTGTGGCTGGCCGGGAGATCCTCAACAAACACCTCCAGGAACAGTGAGAGGGCTTCTCGTGCCACCGACGACAGGGAAGGGGTGGAGCTTACTTTTCCACGGCGATGCTTGTGAGATGACTCAGCAAGAGCTGCCAGTCTCTTGTTGCAGTGTATTGGTTTTTGAGACCAGTTAGCAGGTTCTGTAGTGAGGTCTCGCTGGTTGACTCGGATGGGTCCACTGTGACTGACTCACTCACGTCAGAGAATCCCCCACTTCTATCAAACACTCTGGCCACCACTGACAGGTTGCGTCCCGGTTCCAGTCCACTCGGAAGAATGGTACGGAGACACGGCTCGACTTGGACCCCGGACAACCAGACCACACCTCCCTCGTTAAGGCCGGAGAGACCAAACTGATGCAGGAAGGGTGTGTCTTCAGGTGTGTCAAGAGCACCGCTGACACAGATGGCGAAGATTGTTTCCAGAGCAATTCCAGTGGCGGGAGAGACAGAGACGGTCGCAGAGTGAGGAGATGGGTTTGTAGTGATGGACACCCTCGAGGAGGAAGCCCCTGCCTCGTTAGTGGCTGTGAGTTGGAAGGTGTGGGTGAGGTGGGGAGGGAGGGAGTTGGGAGGGAGGATGAGGTTGAATGGAGTGGTGTGGTTGAGGGTGACGGAGGGAGGAGGGTAGGTGATGGAGCCAGGGAGAGAGAGAGAGATGTCCACATAGCCTTGACCTGCAGTGACAGACAGAGTGATTTGCATTTAGCTTGTGAATTCCTTAGCCAACTGTGCAACTATTGGATTCCCCTATGCACGGCTTGGGAATTTTATAAAGTTACGGAGTTCAGTGAATTATTGGGGAGTGAAGGAGCGGAGCCTATAATGGATACTGCCGATATTGCAATACAAGACTCTCATATAACTTTAGCGTGTCTGAAAAGGCTTGCTTGCCAATAAATGCCATTGGCTCTCTCCAAATCAATGGTAAGTCATAAGACACACTGTTGGCAAATTAATGTGTGTTAGAAGACGGAACAACACACCTTCAATCTCGACGCTCTCCCATGTCAGACTCAGCAGAGGAGTTGAAGAGTACACCAGTCCCCCGTATCACCACTTCACTGGAACCCACATACCCATCCTCTCCTACCCTCACCACCTCAACTATGGGGGATGCCCCTCTCGTTACAGTAATCACGACACTGTCATACGACGACCTCTCTGATCCGGACTGAGACAGCTCCACTGTGAAGTTGTATGCCAGTCCCCGTTCCAGGCCGGATCCTGGAATGGAGACCAGGTCGGATCTGGGAATGAGAATCGGACCAAGTTGTAGGACTAGGCCGAATATATAACAGGTCACACCAGATTCAACTCGTTACATCGCAGCGAGATGATGGGTTCGTGACCGACAGTGAGGTGACGTCGTACACTGACATTCGTGCATCCAGAATTAGATTCCTGTTCTTCGATACCGTCCTGTTCCTCCGTGGACGACAGCCTGTAGAGGTCTGGGTGTCACGGAGAGAGAGATGTTGGCTGTGTCTGAGACCACAGGCGAGAGAGTGGTGAAGGTGCGGTGAGGGAGAGGATGTACAGGGAGGAGGGGGAAGGGAGGGAGAGGAGGGAGTACGGGGCTGGAGAGGGAAACAAGGGAGAGGCTGACGGGAGAGAAAGCTCCTCTCCTCTCATCCGTGAGCTGTGAGAGTTCCCAGAGGTAGGATATCTGGGGATCTCCCGAGGAGGAGCAGGTCGGAGTGAAAACAACAGCTTCCACCACCACATCTTCTCCGTCCCTGATTTCCCTCTCATCCTGCCCCGAGATAAAGACACGGTGTATCTCTTCCAGCTTCTTTCGGGAGTGGAAGGACGGCAGGAGAACTGACTCCACCGGCTGAATTGACCACCACTAGCTCGAGAAAGTAGTCGGCTTCTCTTGAAAACCAGTCGGAGGAAACAGTGATGAAGTGTGTGTTAGGTTCCAGTGAGTCGAGGTAGTCGAGAATGGTCTGGTATTGAGCCGTGGTGCTGTCCTCAGTCAGAACTGACCAGGAGTACGACATACCCCCGTACCCCGGGATTCAGGGAATGGACTCCCGTGAACGAGACCTCGCCACACGCTGGAATGGAACAAGGACCGTCGACTACAGCGACAGGTCTGATGTAATCCAGACTAGAATCCACGGGAAAGGTCTCGGAATCGGACACGGCGTAGGAGAAATCTTGGCCCCGAGTCACCAGTACCTGAGGCTGGAACGAGAGGGACGAGTGTATGTTGACGACCGCAGAGGGAGGGAGATGAACTCCCAACACGTCCTGTCGAGTAGTCTGCCAGTAGCAGGAGGGATCGTCTCCCAGCAGGGCCAGCGACACAGAGCTGAACACCTCACTGCAAACTGGATTTCCCTCGTCACCGGAGACTACCAGTTGAACCGGTCGGTCAAACTGGACTAAAAGGTCAGACAGGTCTTGCGAGAAGCGAACCTGTTCCACGAGAGGAGCACTGTAGCGGTAGGTGAAGACGAGGTCACCGTCAGAGGTTATGACTCCAGAGCTCTGCCCGTCCTGAGAGAGTTGACTCTGACCTCACAAGGAGCCGTGGCCGGAGGTAAACTGCACACCACTTCATTCTGACTGATGTAATTAGCTGGAATAACGAGAGGGTTTCCCCCATTGCTGGTCTCTATTCCACACGACTCAGTCTGGTACAGGAAGCAGACAGAAGAACCGGTATCATCAAAGTTGTAGCCATGGAAACTGACGTTTGTGGTGCGATCAATTTCAGTGTCTGCTGGAGTTATTTCAGAGACTGTTACCACGGTGTCGTCATAGTAACGGAAAATAACTGCATTGGATTGTGGTCCGGTTTCTATGGAGACAGTGAGCTCAAAAAGATCAGTTGTGGTTGCCTTGGTGATGCATCTGATTGTACTCTGATTGACTATGGTGACATCATCGGCAGTGATGTCATTGTTTTGACCAGACTCAAATCGACAGGTTGCCGATACCGACTCTCCCCCAATTACCCGGGGGGCCCCACAATTTTCAGACTGGGAGTCAAAATTGATGCTGCTATCATTCAGGAAGAAGCCGGCACCACGAACGATAATCTCGGTTCCCCCAGATTTGGGCCCCCACTGGGGTTCAATGGACTCAATCTTGAAGCACCCACAGTTGTTCCCCCCACACACCCCACAGGAGTCAACAGTCACTCCACTGGCAGGGGAACCGTCGCAGCCGGGGCAGGAGGAATTCTGGCCCCCGCACACCCCACAGGCATCCAGCGAAGACCCCACGAGGGGGGAGGAGGGGTCTGCATGACACACCCCACACTCGTCCAAGATGGCCGCTCCGAAACAGTCACCGAGGCAGTCGCGATGTTCCACGATTTCAGGGAGCTGGCAGACGCTGCACGAGTCAGAACGGAACGGACCCCCACACACCCCGGTACAGTCCAGGTTCCAGTTGTGGGTCAGCATGGTTCCGGGACCAGTGCAGTAGCCACAGTCGTCCACACTGGCGTTACCTCCACACACACCCGCACAGTCCCTGTGTAGGGAACAGCACATACATACGTAGTTGACCATGACATTATACACATGGATGACGCAAACTACAGTGAAAAAATTTGTGAATTGCAAAGTCAAAGGTTTTCTGTGCTATATTTTTGTAGGTGGAAATATCCATTTGTACCATTGGATGTTTTGTACAATTAACAAAACGCGTGAATTTGAGGTTGGCATTCACAGTGAAAAAACTTACAACTAGTCAACATTCCTGTACATTAGTCTCGTGTAGTGGGTCTGGAAACATAAATCGGCTAGCGCATTCGTTATCCCTGACTTGTACTGAGATGTTCCCTCCCAAAGGGAAAGAAAGGCTAGTTTTAAATGCTGACTCACATGTTGTAGTTGTAGAGGTGGGCGGAGTCGCTTGGCACACAGTCACCACAATCATCAACCACACCCCTCCCCAGACACACACCCTCACAGTCCACCACTGCCTCCCCGATTTCTCCCCTCACCCCCTCCACAAGGTCACCCCTCACACTCACCACACTCACACATTCCCCACAGGCACCGGTCTCGGAGAACGAGAATGGGACCAAGTCACACCCCTCACATCCCCCGTCCCCACCACACTCATCACAGTGGTCGTACATTCTCCCCGAACCCTCCACACCATCACACCCAGCACACGTTCCACCATCTCCCCCACACACACAGCAGGGGTCAAAGGTCAACCTCGAATCAATGACATCATCACAGCCACGACGACTGGCATTCAAAACGGCGACATCATCACTGAAGATCCCAATGGTATGGAACAGAGACTGAGTTGTGTCCACAAACGGATCCGTATTGATCCCGGTCAGGAATGCCTCGTTAGCAGCGTATAACAGGGGCTCCCCCACGGAGAGGTCCCAAGCTTTGACGGAGAGAGAGGGAGGGAGAGAAGGAGACCAGAAGAACGTCGGTCGAGGTAGAAATCTTAGTCGGTCAGTTGGGTGGAGAAGGAGGGCGCGAGACTCAGTCAGTTGAGAGGGGAAATTTACCCAGGGTCCCTCCTGGGGGGCAGTAGAGAAATCCGGGAGGTCGGCATATGCGACACTTTGGTGTATGAGGCTCCAGTTGCCACGGAGATATTGCCACACCCCCTCGTTATCAACAGAGGAGGAGCTTACAACGGCTAAGCCGAGGACGTGTCCATCGCTGTCGTCTGCGATCTGATTGGTTATTGAGGAGACGGTTGCTCCAGGAACTGGCTGTGGTGTCGGGGAAGATGAGCAGCCTTCTCCTGGACCATAGTAGGCAGCTGGAGACAGACAGAGAGAAGGATATAGAGAGGATGAGGGAGTTGGGGTATCAACACACACAGAGAGATTCAATATAGCAGGTTGGTTTTCGTGTGCACGTAAACCCAGACACACCACGTTTAATTTTTGTTCAGTATTCTCGTAAAAACGAACAAATTTGTTGATTGATTCTAAACCTTAGCGCTATAACTCTGTGAGAGGTTTGTACCTTATGTAAAGTGTGTACCTACTATAACATGTGTCTAAATAGTTCGCCTAGTTCAATTTCAGCCCCTACAACATGCACACTCGTGTGATCCTAAACAATTGTGTGGATCATCAAGTTCTGTTTTTTCATAAACTCTGACTCACTCTGAGAGACGAGGGAGTATGCACTGTCTATTGCACACAAACGTTGCATGGACTTATCAAATTCAAGACTTTTGTGTCACATTACAAAGTCATGCCATGTATGTTGACCTTTAGCTACAGTGTCGTTCTTGTGTGTGCTAATGATGATGTCATCCAGATACTAAACTCTGACTCACTCTGAGAGACGAGGGAGATGGGGAAACCGAGGTCACGGAGGACGTCTGCCTTCTCCTCCAGCCGGGACTCCAGTTCAGAGAAACTCAGCCTGTCTCCCTCCACCCTCACACTCACCTGGGAACTGAGAGAGACACAAAACGTAAAGCAGGGACATTTTGTAATGTGGTCACAATTCTCACAGTATCCCCTATCCACATGCTGTTTGTTAATGAACACATACCCAGTGCACTGTCTGAACATTATTTTTGTTGGGGCCTCATGGTATTATATTTCAGATGGCTCCGTCTCACATATCAATGTGTTTGGCCTAGTTTTCTAAATGTAACAGATCTCTCTTGCACACTAAAATTGCTCACAACCCCCACTAAATTCAGAGTATTCACACAAATTTCATTTTCCACGATATTGGATCCCTGCCCACCAAATTCAAACTGTTTTTCAAACCTCAATATTTTGATCCCTCAAAAATGACAGTTACCTCATGTCTGTGTGATGACCAGCTATCCTGAGAATTGACACCTCCTCTTCCAGGACGAGGTGTAGCAGCTCAGACAACCTCTCCCGGTTGCCACGCAACACACCCGTCTCCATGGATACGATCACAGTAAACAAACGGTTGTAGGTGTGGGAGATGAAGTAGGGAATTGGCTCTAACTGGAGTCGGTCGACCAGTAAAACTGGTTTGTCTGGTATACATTCAACAGTCTGAGTGGCCAAGACCACCTCGTTTAGGTTGAACTCTGATATGGTCGTTTCCTTGGTTACCAGGAATCCCGTCTCAGTCTGATTGGTTTCAGTCTCGTTCCAAACCCCGTCCCACGGTTGGAATGGAATGGAGACCTGGCCACAGTAGTCTGGTCTGGGGACGAATCTTATCCGAGCTGTCGTGTTAAGCAGGAGAATCTGATTGGTCGAGGTGAGGAGCGAGGTCACGTACACATACCGTCTGACGTCTCCGTTCCACGCCACCTGCCACTGACCTTTGCCCTCTACGTCACCCATGAATCAAGTCTGATTCCTATTCCAGGTCCCAGTCCTCGTTCCATGACACTCCGTCGCTGCTGACGAGTGGGATTAACCCCTTTCACTCTATTGAAATACTCCTCCACAGCCTCAGTTTCGCGATTCTCAAACTCTGCAAATGACAAACTGTCTGGGAGGCCTTGGATCGTGTCTTCCGGCAAACTGGTAATTCCGGAACCAAAACCTGTAAAACCAGATCCTCTACAGTGTTTCCACGGTTGGCGGTGATGGGCGTGTCCTCGGTGAGGGGTGAAAGTGTGAGAGGGGTGGAGGTGGGGAGGGATGGGGGTGGGAGGAGGGGGAGGAGGAGTGCGGTGATAAACGTCGTGTTCTCACTGAAAGGGCCGGTGTGTGAGAAGGGGAGGGTGGGGAGGTGGTGAGGGAGAGAGTGCCTCACCAGGTCACTGCTAGAGCTGAGGTAACCATCTTGGTTTCCGTCCCACAACTTCACCTTCATCCAGACCACACCCTCTAGGACCACACCCAGGCGGAGGAACCTGAGTCGAGCTGTACTCGGGAGAACAAGTGCCCGTGTCTCTGAAACCACACCCACTGCTGACCACTCCCACATTCCGCATTCTTCTGCGTCTCCCGGCAACCAAGACGTGTTGCTACACAACCCAAACTGCCACTCTCCGTTGGCTGGCGATATGTCCGAAGTCTCAACTATTGCAATGCTTAATTCTTCACCTTGAGAGTCTACTGACCGTGCTGTTTGTCCCTGTTGCTTAGCAACTCCGATATCACATGACCATCACCTGACTGGGGGTCAGGGTTCGGGAGGTGGATTAGAGGCGTGAAAACGACTGGAGGAACATTGGGAAGTTGGCAAATCTCACTGAGAGCTAGACACTGGTTCAGAGCGTCACAGAAGAACCCTCCACTTCCACAGCAGTGCTCCGGACTGGGGACACACTCTCTGGTGTCGGGGCAGAGTGTGAGGGGGGTGGGGCAGTAGGGGCAGGCCGGGGGTGATGTAATGTTGACACACTCATCAGTACTGGTACAATAGAGCTGTTCGTTGCTGCAGTCTAGGGCAGTTTGGGGGAGGGTCGAGAGAGAGCGGCACTCTCTAGTTGAGTCTGTGCCCTCGGCTAGAATCTGACCAATGAGACAGGTGACGTTGGTCCCGTCACATGACTCGGAGAGCGAGGTCACGTGACAGAGGTGTGTGGTGGGGCAGAGGGAAGTCCCCGGGGGGCACTGCCCGTCGCAGGCGGTGTTGGGAGGGAGACAGGTCTCGGAGGGGAGACAGAGAGAGAGTTGTGGGTCACGGCAGTAGTGTCTCACACACAGGAACCGCTCTGGAGATAGAACCTGTTTGTGAGAGAGAAGTTGAATATTGCTAAAACTGCATACACGTTTGACAAGTGAAAAGAACCAGATTCATGTGAAAACTACTGTAAGAGCATGTACTAAAAACCGATGCTTTTTGAATGCCTATGATGAAGATAAATCAAGGCAAGTCCCTACCTATACTTCATCTGTTATCGCTATCGCACATTCTTCACTCCTACGCTTGTTGTCAAGATGCTGGTTTCTAGCACCATTTCTACTTACAGTGTTATTTAGTATGGTCAGAGGCTAAAGTATAAACGGGATCGTGATAATTGGCTTACGAAATCAGGGTGAGTGCAGAAAGGGTCATAGAGAGAGCCGATGATTCTGGGGTCACATGATCCAAACTGAACGAAAGAGCAGTTGACTGGATCCACGTCAGTACACAGACCTGAGGCTGCTGGACAGGAGATGAGAGAGAGAGAGAGTATGTATGTGAGGTACAGTGTAGCAACCACACGATTCTTTCGCATGTGGAAATTTGTCAGACTCGGTCAGAGTTGGGAAAGAGAGAAAAAGATAGAGTAGTCACGCACAAGGCTGGTAGCGCCACACACATTCTAAACTGGAGCTTGTAGATGTTTAAAGAACACATCTTCCTTTGTTCAGTGTTTGGAAGTATACTGAAGGTGCTATCACCTTAAACTAGGGGATCGCTAAACAATTAAGGCAATGTGCTGAGCATAAGGAACTATATATGCATGAGGGCTGTAACTCCGACTGGGAAACGAGAACTTTCTACAAGTGCCCAATGCCAAAGTTCAAAGTTTTATTGTTATTGCACGTCTCAACAACTTGGTAACGAGGTAGAAAGGTAAGGCAAGGCAAACAAGTCAACTACACCCAGGACAGCTCTTTATTTTCAAAGAAGAGAAGAAGAGCTGCCCTAGGTAGGATTCGAACCAACGACACTCTGCAGTCTAGGCGAGCGCTCTACCAACTGAGCAACTCAGCTGGTAAACAGGTTCAAATCTACATACACCACAACACAGACAAATGCACGTCTCAAACCATTGTGCTATGCACTCTCACATCTCCTTTCTTTCATCACATGTATACATACCTTCACAGAAGGATCCATCGGAAGTGAGCTCCAATGTAACTGCTACAGTCGTCACAAATTCTCCATCATACACTGATACAGTCAGCTCATAGGTTCCTAGAGCTTCTTCGGGCACACGCCCCCTCGCAAACATTACTCCACTCGTGGAGTTTACTCCAATAATACCCCCACTGGTATCCCCCGTGATGTCATACTCCAGCGGCTGACCAATCAGATCGCTGTCGGTGGCGGTCACCCTGGCGAAATCGACCCCCGGTGCCAGGTATCTTAGCAACGAGAAGACGTATTCTGATTGGTCGAACTGCGGTGGGGTGTCGTTTAAATCGACAATGATTACTGTAACAGGCACACTGTTAGACAACCGAATTGGATACCCGGAATCTATCGCAGACACAAGGAGATGACGAATTCCAGCGACCTCTCGATCTACACTAGAATTGGTGCTCAACACCCCAGTTTCACTGTCCAGAGAAAACAGAGGGATTTCCCCGGCAAAAGAGTTCAGTGACAGTAGGTAAGAGATGGACACAGTGTCCGGGTCTGTAGCTGTTATATTGGCAATGGAACTCCCTGCAGTCGTGTTCTCATAGATACTGATGGTATAGTGAGAGGTGGGGAAGAGAGGGGCGTGGTTGTTGACGTCGGCAACGGAGATATTGACAGTAACAAAAGAGTTTCTGGGCGGAGTTCCGCCATCTTCTGCATCAACGCCAAGTTGGAAGAGGGACACAGAGTTGTAATCCAGACCCCCAACCAGTGAAATCAGACCAGTTGAGGGGTCGATGATGAAAATTTCCCCCGGGTCCCCGAGGCTATTGAGTAAGTTATTAGTAAATCGGGGGAGTCTGGATCGCTGGCAGATATTTGAACCACGGACCCCCCGAAAGGTAGGGTCTCGGGTATGCTCACGGCGTAGCCCCCCGGGGATGAAAACTGGGGGGCGAAATTGTTGTCTGGGACCACCATGATGTAAATGGTGGCCGTGTCACTCTGAGGCTGTGGGGAGCCTCTGTCTGATACAGCAGCCAGTAGTACATAGGAGTCAACGTCTCCTCTGAACCCAGGGCCAGTGGATACGACCCCCGTTGAATGGTTGACGGCGAAGGAGAGAGGAAGGTCCAGGTGAGTGAGGAAGAAGCTCAGATCGGAGTTAGTTCCGGAGTCAGGGTCCTCCGCAGTGAGGGTGAGGACTGGGGTACCTTCCCCCACACCGGAGGAGACCGCGGCTTGATAGTGCGGGGCTGTGAACTGGGGGGCGTGGTCATTCTCGTCCACTAGCTCCACCCACACCACCGCCCGGGAGGAGAGGGGAGGGAGAGGGAGAGAGGGCTCTGTGGTTAGTGACTGAGACATTCAGGACAAATCTCTGCTGCTCTTCGTAGTCGAGGAGACCAGCCACAATCAGTTCCCCAGTCAGGGGGTCAACGTCAAATTTGCCCCCCTCGTTGCCCCCCGTGATTGAAAATTCGACCTCAGAGTTGACCCCCGGAGGGTCGAGATCATGGGCTGTTAGTGTGAGGAGGAGAGAGGAGACGGGAGTTAGTTCAGATATGATGAGAGAGTAGCTACCACTAGCAAACGTCGGTGGGTTGTCGTTGGCATCGTCTATCTCCAAGGCAACCACGGCATGCGAGACGAGGGAAGAATTGAGAGTCGAGACTGCTCGGACACTGAAGAGCCAAGTGGGTGCAGTTTCATAGTCTACCCGACCAATCAGATTGATTTCCCCATTTGAACTGACCTCGAACGGGAAATCAACTGAAGATTCATTCGCAAGTGAAAAAATGACATCATCGCCAGTTGTCGTTAGCGACCCCACCACCTCTCCCAAGGAGGTGTCTTCGTTGATGGAGAAGATGAAGGAGGGAGGTTGGAAGACGGGGAGGGAGGAGGAGAGAGGGAACACCGCTACAGTGACACCCACTGACACAGTGAAGAGCCCGTCACTTACCACAAGAGAGATGAAAAGCTCTTCACCACCAGAAGGAAGGAGAGAGAGGGTGTAAAGGTCACCAGTGTAAGGGTCTACACTAAAGAAAGAGGCATTTCCGTGGTTACCAAGGCTGTAGCGCAAGGAGGAGCGTTGGTAGGTGTCACTGTCATTAGTTGGAAACGACCCAACACGAGCGCCAGGGGGTGTGTTGTCAGGAACGTCGACGATGTAATGGGACATCGGGTAGGAAGGTGGGTGCTCATTGTCGTCCAGAACGGAGACTGAGAGAACGGCAGTACTGGAGTGTGACTGGGGCTGTCCGCGGTCTGACACCAGGACTGTCAGACTATGAGATGGAACACTCTCGAAATCAAGTCCCCGGCTGATAATGACCTCCCCAGCCAGGGGGTCAATACTGAATATTCCATCAGGGTCCCCCGCTATTATTGAGTACACGAGATCAGCGTTAACCCCCGTATCGGCATCCGTGGCAGCTACAACCCCGACAAGTGTCCCCATTCCAGACTGTTCTGGAACCGAGACGTGATAAACATTGGAACTGAACTCTGGAATGTGATCATTGACGTCGGCTACTTGGACTAGTAGTTCTGCCTGTGCAGTGAATTGAGGCGTTCCCTGATCGACCACCCGCAGTGACAGAGTGTACCCAGCCGTGACCTCTCTATCCAGATGATCTTGGAGGGAAATGAGACCACTCCTCTCGTCCAGTTGGAAAGCAGACGCCAGGTTCCCGGAGAGAACGGAAAAGCGGAGCTCTGCGTTGGAGGTGGAGTCAGCGTCGGTGGCTGGGATCTGGAACACGGACGTCCCGAGGATTGCGTTCTCGGGAACGGAAGTGGTGTAGGTGTCGGAGGCAAAGAGCGGAGGGTTGTCGTTGAGATCTGTGACAATGACGGTCACCTCGGAGCTGTTCGACAACGGAGGGTCCCCGTTGTCAGTGGCAACCACGAAGAATGTGTAATTGTGCTCCCTCTCAAAGTCAAGGGGATAAGAAAGTGCGATGAGTCCAGAATGTTCACTAATGGTAAATGTAGAGTCGAAATCTGATGAAAGTGAGAACACTATCTCCCCATTGAAGCTCATGTCAGCATCGCTAGCAGCAATACCAACTATAATGGAATCAACTGGTGTGTCCTCACGTAGCACGGCACCATACTGAGAGGAATTCAACTGCGGTATGTTGTCGTTGACGTCGAGAATGGTTACCATGACAACAGCTGAGTTCGTTAACGTCGGCTCTCCCGAAATCCTGAGCAATCACCTCAAAGGAGAAGTATTCCTGAGTCTCGCGATCAAAGCTGAGTGAAAGAGCGATTTGCACCGTTTGTGGAGTTGATAGAGAAGTAGATGGAGTCGTCGCTTGGGGTGGAGTGAGTACTCCACTACCCCGCTCTCCCCCAAGTCAGGGTCAGAGGTCACGACGGTTAGTAGGGTGGAGCCAAAGGGTGTGTCCTCGGGCCAGGCAGCTGCGTAACTGGGGAGAGAGAAAGAGGGTGCCACGTCGTTTCGATCGAGGATTTGGACTCTCACTACCACGGCAGAGCTGTGCTGTACTATCGTCCCACTGTCAGTGGCAGTGACTAGGAACGCGTACGTGTCCCTGCATTTCCCTGTCGAAATCAACAGCTGTGAAAGATCTCACCCGTCGTAGAATTTACAATGAAACTTTCTCCGGCTCCCCCAGAACTCGAGGTTCCGATACTGGATCCAGAACCAGACCCAGAGATCGTGTCGGGAGACCCTGATCCTCCACCAGTGATGGAATAAGTAACGGACTGGAGATCAATGTCGCTGGCTCTGACCTGACCAATCGGAACGCCCGGACCCTCGTTTTCATGCACACTGAAGAGTAGCTGCTCCGGTCGAATACGGGAAAGTTGTCGTTAAAGTCTTGGAGGACAAAGGTCACATTCACTATCGATTCCAGCTGCCGTGGTTCCGTCCCATTATCAAAGACCCTCACCTGAAGGGTATGGATAGGTTCTCTTTCCCGGTCTAAGGGGGCCACGGTGAAAATGGTCCCCCTCTGGGGGTCAATGGAAAAGAGGCTACGGTTTTGGCCCCCAACGATCTCGAAACGCAGCTCTGAGTTGGTTTCCGTGGCATCTGCGTCGGTGGCATTCAGGTCAATGACCTCTGACCCCACGTCGACAGACTCTATCACCACTGCAACGTACTCTGACTGGGAGAGTAGAGGGGCGTGGTCGTTGAGATCACTCACGGCAACAGTTACATTTACTGTTGTTGCTAATTGAGGTGTGGCCCTGTCATTAACGGCTACTATGTCGATGATGTAATAAAGAGACATTTCAGCATCGAGTGGATATAGAACAGATATGGCTCCTGATGTCGAGTTGACGCAAATGAGTCCACTTGAGGACTGGTTCCATTCAAGAAAAACTGGACAAACGAGTTTGTCCCACTGTCACTGTCTGTGGCAGCAACTTGAATCACTGGGTAATCGGGTACGAAATTCTCGTTTAATGAGACGAAATATTCGCTTGGAGTGAAAATGGGCGCGTGGTCATTTGCGTCTGTCACTGTAATACTGACCTGCGCGGAAGAGCTCTGAGGGGGATTCCCCATGTCTGTGCTAACAATAGTAACGACGTATGATGCTAATCTCCTCTCTGTCCAATGGAATCGCAGTCTGGAGTAGACCAGAGGTAGAGTTTATCAGGAAGTGGTCTTGAGGGAGTGAAGAGTCAATGGAGTAAGTCAGCTCAGCATTAGGACCAGCATCATTGTCACTGGCGTGTAAGAGAAAGACAGAGGAAAATGGAGGCTCATTCTCAGGGAAACTGACTGAGTATTCCGACTGATCAAACTGCGGCGCATTGTCGTTTTCATCAGTTACGGTAACCCTGACGACCGTGGATGAATTGAGAGGGGGATCCCCTCCGTCGATGGCCAAAACGATGACGTCATACCTGTCTCTGGTCTCCCGATCGTACCCTCCGAGCGTGACAACCTCGCCGGTCTCCGGATGAACCGCAAAGCCACTGCTCTCACTCAGAATCTCATACCTCACCTCAGCATTCTGAGCCTTATCTCCGTCCATGGCCACAACCTGAACAACCCTCAATCCCTCTCCGGTGAACTCTGAGATTTGAGCCTCGTACCCCTCCTCAGGGAAGGTAGGAATCTCGTCATTCTCAGTCAACGACTGTCACCAGGAGACAGGTCAGACCGGACAGACGGGTTTCTCGGCCGGAGTCGGTGGCCTGGACCACCAGGAGGTGTGATTCTCTCTCTTCGCGGTCCAGGGGGAAGGTAGTTGTCACTAGTCCACTCTGGTTGTGAACGACAAAGGAAGATGAGGCGGTTGAGTCGGAGGTCGTGGGGAAAGAGGTGCACACATCATCGGGTGTCTGGCAGGTTGAGTAGCAGTCACTCTCATTTTCAATTTGCCTCATTATGTCGTAGGAGAGTTCGGCGTTTTCTCCGCTATCAGCGTCTGTTGCTGTGACGTAAACGACACTCTGCCCCGGAGCTGAATTTTCCACAACCGATGCATCGACTAGTGCGAATTCAAAAATAGGGGCGTTATCGTTAACATCTTCTATCGCTATGGTTACAGTGGTGTTGGAGCTCAGCGGTGGAATACCAGAATCAGTTGCTATGGCAATGAATTCATATGTTTGTTGTATTTCGTAATCAAGACTGGTGTTAGGTGAAAGAGATAGCAGTCCAGTTTGGGGGTCCACGATAAAGAATTTGTTGTCCCCCAGGGGGTCGAGGGCAAAGGAAATTTCAGCATTGGCCCCTGAATCTTCGTCGAAGGCTTCTAATACAATTAGCGGCGTAAGTGGAGGGGCATCCTCCTGGACTGCTGAAACAAAGTTGGAGTCGAGGAATGTTGGGATGTTGTCGTTTATGTCAGTTACCGTGACACTGACATTTACCTCACTGGACAGCTGCGTGCTGATTGGTCCACTGTCCCTCGCCATGACGACCAAATAGTACTCGGACATGTCCTCATAGTCTAGATTCCCTGCCACGTACAGTTGTCCTGACGACGAATCGATGCCAAACATTGTGCGGTTGTTACCAGCAACAATACTGAACACTGACGTAGAATTCTCCATGTAGTCAAGATCAGAAGTATTGACCGTGAGGACTGGTGACAACAGAGCTGCATTTTCAGGGACGAAGCCGTGGTACGCCTCCTGGTCAAATACGGGACGAAACTCGTTCTCATCGAGAAGATGGACAATTACCTGGGCCGTCCCGGTAAGTGATGGGTCGCCCAAGTCAATGGCCACAACTGTGAGATCATATACTGGGACTAGTTCTTTGTCAAGGAGAGGAAGCTCCACCCACATCGACCCCGTTGAACTGTTCAATGCGAACACGTCGTCGATGTTACCTAGATTCAATGTCGTAGTAAAAGAACGAGCCATCAGAGAGATCTGTATCAGTTGCCGAGATGTTAACCAAAAACGTGCCGTTCTCGGAATTTTCCGGAACAGCCACGACATACTCATCCTGAGAGAAAAAAGGAGCGACATCATTGATATCTAGAATCCGGATAAATAGTGAGGCATTTGATGCGCGACCTCCGCCGTCAGTAGCTGTTAGAGTCAATCGGTACTCTTCCACCACCTCCCGATCCAGGGGGGCCGAAATTGTCACCAGCCCCAAGAGGGGTCCGATAAAAAACTGCCCCCCGGGGTCACCATCAGTGATGCTATAGTGCACCAAGCCGTTCGTTCCGTAGTAAACCACTTCTCCGTTCTCCTCTTGAAAATCAACTTGGTCTATGTCAGTTGCTTCAACTGCGATCACCACAGCCCCCACTGAGGTGTTTTCGTGGATCGAGATGGAGTACTCCAACTCCTCCCACTCTGGGGTATTGTCGTTGATGTCCTGTACTCCAACCACGAGGAGGGAGGTCGAGGTAAGTCCGGGATTACCCCGATCTGCCGCAACGATCACGAGTTGATACGATGTCTGTCTCTCTCTATCCAATTCACCACTCAATACAACTTCCCCCGTCGTAGTATTGATACTGAAATCGTAGTACCTGTGGTTGCCACGGAGACCAAACGTGATCTCTCCCGACGACCCCTCGTCTCCATCGACTGCAGAGGCATTGAAGACACTGATTCCCACACTCTGATCCTCAAACAAAGTGACTGGTTCAAGGACGACCGATGTGAACTCTGGAATGTGATTGTTGCCGTTGACAACGACCACAGACACTGTTGCTACGGTCGGGAAGACCCCTTCGTTGGATGCCGAAATTTCAAACGTGAAACTTGTGTCTCCATCTTCGAAATTCAAGTTTCTTCTGAGAGAGATTTCGCCTGTCGTAGAATCGATGGTAAAGGTACTCTCGATCTCCTCGGGAACAGTGCCGTGGAACTCGATATCAATCTCATTAGCCGGGGAGGTCCCATCGTTATCTATTGCCATGGCAACAAAAAAGGGAACACCCATGGGTGTGGTCTCGGGTATGTGGACGAGAAAGGAGGAGGAGATGAAGCGTGGAGGTATGTCATTTACGTCCTCGACAGAGATGGTTATGATACGATAGGATGAATCTCCAGCCATGTTTTCAGCTCGGATGGTCAGCTGGTAGGTGGGTTGGGTCTCGTGATCGAGCATAGCCCCGGTGGCAAGAGAGAGCGTCCCTGCATTATCGACAACAAACGTATCTCCCTCGTTCCCACTCTCAATCTCGTATCTGGCGACGTTGATGGTGACTAGAGAGAGCTCGAGAAGTACAGTAGGCAGCGGCTGGTTCTCTGTCACGGAGGCCTCCAGGGACAGCTGGGTGAAGAGAGGGAGACTAGAGAAGGACTCCTGAATGTGGATCGTTACATTAGCTCTCCCGATGGTATCGGAATCGGGGTTTCGGACTGTGACCACCAGATTGAGTTCCTGCCCCACGTCGTGCTCAAGACTCTGGACTACGTAGAGCGATGGTTGAGTGGTAGACCGGAGAGACAATAGCTCGCTGCCCTCTTCGATTCCGTATTCCAAGTCTGAATTGGTTCCGGAGTCTGCGTCCTCTGCCACCAGGTCGAGGATTACGGTATCCACGGCAATTAGGTTGTCGACGGTGACAGTGTACTCTGAACTAACGAAGTGGGGTTGGTTGTCATTGACGTCCACTACGTGAACCAACACAGTGGTGTAGTTCGTTAAGTTGGGCGTGGCCATGTCTGTTGCCGAGACAACAAATTCATGGAATTCAGTCTCTTCAAAATCAAGTGGCGTCATCAAACCAACAAACCCAGTGGTGGAATCAAGGTGAAAGAATACCTCATCGTTTCCACCGATGACATCATAGAGAATTGTACCGGCCAGCCCCTCGTCTCCATCGGTGGCAGAGAGGTTAAAACCGCTCCCCACGGCAGCGTCTTCCTCGAGATAGACATGAGTGACGACGTCAAATGAAGGATGAGTATCGGGGAGGTCCAATATGGTGATATGGGCCTCCACGGTCGACCACATGGGGTGAGTAGACAGGGAGTTATTAGCCACAACTGTCAGGTTGAATCTCGGAGTAACCTCTCTGTTGATGAAACGAGTGGTGTGGAGTACCCCGGTTTCGGGGTCGATGTCAAAATACTCCGAACCCTCCCCCGGTGCCAGACTGTAGCGGACAACTTGGTTGGTGTCTGAGTCAGCATCAGTGGAGGCCACCTGGAGTAATGTGGTGTATGGGGCAAGGTTTTCCTCCAGCTCACTGGAGTAGCGCTCCTCCAAGAACGTGGGGAGGTTGTCGTTGAAATCCGTTATCGTCACGGTGACCTGGGAGGTGTGGCTTCGTGGGGGAAATCCCATGATCGGTCACCATGACGACCAGAGAGTAGGTAGTCTCGTACTCAAAGTCGAATGATTCAGTTGCAGTGAGAAGGTCACCTGATGACTCGTTGAGGTAAAACATTCCGTTGCTCTCCAGAATAAAGTAAGACAGTTCTGCATTGGTCCCAATGTCCATGTCCGTGGCCTCCAGGGTCAGAATTCTGGTCCCCAGGGGGTCGTTCTCGGAGACGCTACCAACAAACAGACCTCTGATGAACACGGGGTCGAAGTCGTTGGCGTCTTCCACAAAGATGGTTAGGAGAGCGTCTGTGTGAAGAGGAGGGTCCCCATGGTCCTGCGCTCGAATCAACATCTCGTAGAACGGACGTCTCTCGCGATTGAGGACTCCGCGAACAAACGTTACTTCTCCCGTTTCAGAATCCAGTAGAAATCTTCCGTCAGCAAGATCGGTGACTACCTCGTACGTGACCCTGGATCCGTTCCCCGGGCTATCAAGGTCTACCGTCATTACTCTGGGGGTCACGGGGGCTGGGGGGTCAGTGTTTTCTGGGATTCCCAGACTGAGGGAACCAGGGGGGAAATCAGGGGGTCGGTCGTTGACGTCTTCTATGAAGATGGTTGCATCTGCTGTCGAAGAGAGAGGGGGTTCCCCCATGTCGGTTGCTATGACAACAATGTTTATTACACCTCCCTCTTCCCAGTCAACCTCCCCGACAACAGTGATATCACCGGAGGTGGGGTCTATATGGAATACGTCGCTTCGGTTACCTTCGAGGGAAAAGATTATTTCATTGTTGGGTGACTCTGCATCTTCATCGCTTGCTGAAGCTGAAAAGACGCGAGTACCATTTGGAGCATTTTCAACAACGTCTGCTGAGTAAGATATGTTGTGGAACGAAGGGGTGTGGTCGTTTCGGTCGGATATCACCACCTGGACTGTGGCAGAGGCGGTTTGTGTAGCGGGGACCGTCCCGTTGTCGATGGCAACCACATGTAGAATAAACGAGGTGTCGTTTTCACGATCGAACAGGTCGTTAGTCGACAGTTCGCCAGTCGCTGGATCTAGTGAGAATCTTGCATTGACTTCTGCACTGGCGTTCGAGACATCATTCAGAAAGTACTGTATATCCGCATTAGTTCCCTCATCCATATCGGTGGCGTTTACCTGGAAGAACGTGGTACCTACAGGATCGTTTTCCGAAACATTAGCCACATACACTCCCCCCATTGTGAATATTGGTACGTTATCGTTGGAGTCAATCACTTCCACTTGGATCTGACCAAAGGTGTGAAGCGGAGGGGTTCCCCTGTCACGTGCTGATATCGTCAGGTTATAGAACGTCTGGCGGCTTTTGTTCAGAGTTGCTTCAGCAAACAGACCCCCAGTCTCGGGGTCTATTGAAAATTCACCCCGGGGGTCACCATCAGATATATTGTACTCCAGTTCAGCATTGACCCCAATGTCTTCGTCAATGGCACGGAATTCGTCCAGAATCTGGACCCCAGGGGGCAAAAGTTCGTAGGCAACGATAGAAAGATTGGAGGGGAAATAAGGAGTTCGGTCGTTTTTGTCGCCAATCATGATGGTGATATTGGTCACTATTGATTGAGGGGGCTCCCCGAAATCGGTCGTTTCTACGGCAACCACGATCCCCTGGGGTTGCTGCTCCCTGTCAAAGACCCGAAGCCCCCTCAGGAGTCCGGTGGTGGAATTCAATGAGAAAGAGTCGTTGCCCCCCTCCGAGAAGGGGTCGTAAATTTCAAAGAGAGAAAAGTTGAACTGGCCCCCCGCACCCATGTCTGGGTCAGTTGTGTAGTTGGTGAGGTAGACGATATCGTAGCCAGGGGGTTCGTCTTCGGGGACCGTTGGGAAGAACCCCTTGGGGAAAATTATGGAGGGGGGTTCGTCATTGGCCCCCACCAGGAAGACCGTGACATTAGTGAGGTCGGTAAAGGGTTCTGGAAAACCTTCATCATAGGCCTCCACTTGGAAGAAGGAGAAATTCCTACAAAACAGACAGGGAAAGAGCCAGTGTCATATATAAAGTGTGATGATAGAGACTATCATCGTGACAGTCTCTCACGTGTTTAACCATCCCCTCTCTCTCTGATCTCTCCCTGCCAGCTAAACACCACACCCAAAATGCACATACAGAGAGAGAGAGACAGACAGAGTGGTAGTGAGGCATTCTGCCAGGAACCCTCCCTTGTGTGAGTGGTGCCCGCATTTACTTTTATTTTGTCAGCCGGGCGAAATCCGCCCTCCAAAAAAACCGGCTACATAAGGCAAGCGCCTTGCTTTATGCGCACGAGGGTTATGCACTGAAGTCCAGCTCGGACGGTCTGGTCTTTATACTCGAAAACGACCAGAGTAGTTGTGGTTAAACAGGAAGTGAAGCGGTACTATGAATATATTTGAGCGTTCTGCACGCATTAGAGTAACCACAAGGACAGCCTGGCTGAAAGATGCCGGAAGTTGCGAGACAGAATCCTTCTGTAGTAAACAGATTTGTAGGTGCTTTTCCCACCATACAAATAGCATTCAAGCCTACAAATTTTTACAGGGAAACTATTGCAGATGGATCAAACTGTGGATAATGATAACAGCAAAACCTCTGAAAAAGGACCCTCCAGGATGCTTTTTTCTGTCCCATACTCATACATAGTGTAGTTTGTTACCTCTGGTGTCCCTTATATACAGTAGTTTCACTGTAAAGGCCAACCTTGCATCAAAGTCAAGTCGAGAAGCAACGCTGATTAATCCAGAGTCACCGTCAACGGAGAATGAACCAGCTGCATCGAACTCCGTGACGACTCGATAGTGGACCACTCCAATGGGGCCAGGGTCTGGATCAGTGGCTCGCACCTGCAGCATTGCATGACAGACAGCAGTGAGGCACAGTCACCACAGGCCTTTCTCAGGCTCAGGTTTCACTAAGCTATATACAACTTTTGTACAGTCTTCCCTCACATCTTATTTGCTTGTTGTCACTATACCATGATAATGGTAGAGTAGCTATCAGCTAGTGAAAGAACTTTCTGGGAGCTAAAAGCACACGTACAGTACTTTAGAGAGAGAAAAATTAGAACTTTAAGGTTTGATAACGCTATTAGCTGCCTTTGTGAAATTCGTCCTTTGTTTATATGTACAGCTGGACATGCAAATCTACTGGTGCTTTTCCCACCATACAAATAGCAGGGTCTGGATCAGTGGCTCGAGTGGCACATTTCTTCTGTAAACAATATTATACAGCCTATAGTACTGCATTACCTGCAGAACAACAGTTCCAATGGAGGTCGTCTCGTCCAGCGTCACATTGTAGGCTTCCTGCTCAAATGTGGGCGGAGTCTCGTCCACGTCGTGTATGAATATCATTAGTAGCACGTCCGTGTGAAGGGAGGGGCTTCCTCCATCGAGGGCTCTTACAGTGAAATTGTAACGTTGCTGTAGATCGTAGCGAGGTCTGAGGTGAACTTCGACTAGACCCGTTGTCTCTCCTATTCTGAACCTCTGAGAATTGTCGGGAAGAGGATCCACAAACTCGTACGTGATTTCTGCATTAACCCCTTCGTCGCTGTCGCTTGCTGTAAGGGTGATGACGTCGTAGCCGCGGGTACGGTTGTCTAGGATGTGAACGGTGTACTCCGAGCGGTTGAACACCGGCTCGTTATCGTTCGTGTCCTCAATCGCTATGGTGACGTTTACGGAGCTGGACAGCTGTAAAGTGTGATTGAGAGGTGTGTCCACAGCCCCCACCACCAGCTGGTACTCACTCCTCTCTTCTCTGTCAAACGTTGCATTTGTGAAGATTTCTCCCGTGACAGAGTCAATGTCAAAGTTACCACCCCCACCCCCCACAATGTGATACGAGACCACACCCCCAGAACCTTCGTCTCCGTCTTCGGCAGTAACTCGAATAACCCCGAACCCACTGCGGACTCCCTCCCTCACAGACGCCTCGTACACATCTTCTAGGAATTGGGGGGCAAAATCGTTGACATCCTCGATCTCGATAATGACGTCGATTGTGTCTTGTAGTGGGGGAACCCCCTGATCTCGGGCGGCTATAACGAGGTTAACCACTCCCCCTGTACCCCCCTCGCGGTCCAAGGGGGCCGTCAGGGAAATTCTTCCCGTGAGGGGGTCGATTGAAAAGCTGTTAGTCTCGTCTCCCGAGAGAATGACAAATTCTATTTCGGCATTCAGGCCGTGGTCGTCATCTGTGGCATTTATTGAGTCCAATATCACCAGGCCAGGTGGGGTGTCCTCGCTCAGGGTTAAATTTAGCCCCCCGGGGGCCAGAATCCTCGGGGGGTTGTCGTTTGAGTCAAGAATGTTCACATGGATCTCAGCGGTCGTGTTGAGTCCTGGTGCATCCGTGGCAACCACCGTGAGATTGTACCTGTCTCCTTCGTCAATATCAAACGTGGCCCCCGGGGATACGAAAATCCGGCCCCCCTCCCGCTCAATTTCGAACAGCCCCCCGTCATTTCCTCCCACGATCGAGTAGAAAACTCTGCCGTTGTCCACGAGGTACACCAGCTCTGCAAAGTCTTCAATTTCTTCGTCAACCAGCTGCTCCGTAAGGACCTCGTCAATGTCGGTGGCGGTTACTTGGAGCACCAGGGACCCCGGTGTAACTGCCTCCAGCAGAGAGACGGAGTAGAGCTCTTGGGAGAACTGAGGCGCGTTGTCGTTTACGTCAGCGAGAAGGATGGATAGCTGTGCGGGAAGAGAAAACAGTTTATCCTAATTGTGCGCACGCGCATAAATTACGAGCCCCTCCTTCTTTTTGGCAACTTTCTGGTAGGTAAAGGATCAGCACACAGCGCGACACACACATGAAAGGGTTTATAACGTTGCTCACTTACCGTGTTTTGTGCGGTGAGCGAGCTATTAGGAGCGGAGTAAGTGACGGAGAGAGAGAACACCGTTTGCGCTCCTTCCACGTCTCTATCCATGACCACAACGTTTCTGACAGTTCCTAGGGTACGACTCCCGTCTTGGCTGGGAGCGAACTCCATCGTGAATAACTGGGAGTCTGGATGTGACTCATCCAGCTCGAACACACCGTCAGCACGCACTTGCAGCGGTGACGCCAGGACGTAGTAGGCTTCCAGTTGCACAACGGCCGTCCCTGCTGGCTGCTCTTCCTCCACGTGGTAAGTAGGCTCCACGTTGAAGACAACCTGGTCTTGCGTCTGAGAGAGGGCCGGTGGCGCCAAGGAGATAGCGGCGAGGACGAAGAAGAACCCGGAGAAAACCGGCGGGCGTATGAGCGCTGCTGCACCTGCCCCGCCCATCTTTTTGGCTCGTCTAGCTACTTGCATGTTCCATCAACATTATCACTCAGACTCAGACTCTTGACTACCAACGTTTCCAAATGGCAGTGTCTACCTGACTCACTGTTTTGATGCTGTTGCCTAGCATTGCTGGGAAAAAACACAGCCAAACTCAACTTTATTCACATCCTCTCCAACGTGCACCATAGGCCGAATTTCAATGTCATTTCGACATTCAGAAAATTACAGTTACAACACAATGAATGGATCAGTGATAATGATACATTGGAGAGAGGGGATTGCCACTGAATCAACGGGCTATCTAGATATAACTTTATCCATGAGTAAGTATGCCACAAAGACCAGGACAATGACTCCCAGTGCAAAGTAGCAGGTCGACTTGCAGTTCTGAACTCTGGTCATTCGCATGACCTTTACTCTCTTGAATGAGTTCGACAGCATGGCCGAGGCCATCACAAAGGCTCCACCCTTCATGAGGAGAGGAAAAGAGAGTAGAGAGATGGTGGAGGCATTGATGGATACTGTGGAATATACAGTGGAACCTCTTGTACAGTATACAGTATCTATGGGAAAGCAGCTGGTACATAGCACACTGTCCGTTAAATGGTAGGTGTCCGCTATTTAGAGTGTCCCCTAAAAAGAGGTTCCACTGTAACTTCTTTTAAGAGCACCTCTGATGTGCGGGCACCCTCTATAAGTTCAATTGCATTTTCAACATTTTTTGTTTTCCCAAGAACAGTTTTTGTAGAAACGTCACTTTCTAAGTGTAGCTTCTTTTCTTATGTCCCGTCAGTGTCTGGATTGTGTATAAAGGAGTTCTACTGCACACACGTAAATGGACTTACGGAATCATCTATCATGTTCACTTGGTCTTTTGCTTCAGTGCGCAGATCCAGCGCTATCTGTAGGAAGATGTAACGAAAACCCATTCATGTCATCTCCACACAAACCAGAATGTCTTACATACAGCTAGCAACTGTTATTTATAGAGATTTTACACTCCAAACGTCCCAAAATCACAGAAATGTAGACACAGAACGGACTAAGCGGCTTACGTGCTTCAGGGAGGACACTTTCCCGGCCATTCCGTGTATCAGTCTGTCGTTCTCGCTCTCCAGTAGCTCCTCTGAGAACCGATCCCCTGAGGTAGAGAGAGATAGACACTCTGACCGTACCGGCAAGTTCTAACTTCTTACCTTTACCACGAGCACCATTACGAGCCATCCCCGAAAAACATATATTACGGAGCCGGATATTCTACGTTCACGAGAAACAAGCTCCGCCCTAATGTTTACGGAGCCGGATATACTCTACGTTTACGAAAAACCAGCCCCCGCACTTATGTTTTACGGAGCTGGATACTCTAAGTGTACGGAGTAACTAGCCCTGCCCCTAATTCTGGTCTTTCCAACCACATTACGTGAACCGTGGGGTCAAAGGTCGGGACCTCTACCCGCCCGCTGTTCTCCGACAGAAAAGGCTCGAAGCACAGGATATGCTGGTCTGGAGCGCAGTGACCCTGGTGCTGCTGGCATGTCTGCAGGCAGCTCAGTGTCGACAGTACACGCTCAACGTCCCGCGCGTCCTCCTACCCATTGTCCCGGCCAGCGGAGTGAAGGCGAACTTTACGCTCAAATCTCAAGCTGGCTGCTTCACGTGGTGAGCAAGTCATCCACGTGGTGTTGTCGATACGCACAAAATTATGCATCGAACAAAACTCCGTCTCTAATTCACCATCTCCCTGCTTGTGTCTGCAGGAAGAGTATAAAGCCAGACGTGGCATCAGTGCAGCCTCTGTATCCTAATGAAGACAAGCAAGGTCAGATCTCCCTTGATGACAAGGAGAGGTCTGTAAACTAATGTATAATCGAGTGGCAAATCCTTGTAGCAAGAAAGTTTCTTGTGAGAACAAAGATGACAATTTGTGGATTGCAATCCTGCCCACAATATTATGTCAAGGAATGTTCATCATCATCTGAAAATTTTCGCTCTTTAGCTCGATATTGAATTTTCTCACATTCCTTATGAGCTGAATTTTAGCAGTCATTATGGTGGAACCCCTCTAATCACTGGAACCCTTTTTTCAGCATGCGAGAGCTGTTTGTGGGAAGAGAAAAGGTCTCACTATTAGAGAGAGAGAGAGGTGTCCTCATTTCAGGGGTGTATATCTACTATGGGACAGCCAAACCACTACCTATATAGCTTTTCACACAAACACACTGTACACTCCAGTGCATGAAATTACAATATGTATATTTACAGGAATAAAGGAAGGTATCTCACCCCCCCCTCCCACCACCAAATGAGAAATATGTATGTGTCATCTTGTATTGTGTTTGAAGGTGTGACTGTAGGTGAGGGAGGAGGAGGAGGAGGAGGAAGTGGGGGCGGCAGGTGTTCCAGAGAGGCTCTCCTCACTCCACAGTCCTCTGAGAAGACTAGACTCAGTACTGTCATCATCGCTGAGGAACAGAGTAAGTTGGACGACGTAACGTACGTGGCACAACTTGATGTATAAGACAAAGTCCCGTGGGTGATGTAAGCATAATACACTGATACCTTTCTTCACCGGGTATGATGGTTATGATAGATCCAGGCAACATGAATTATACTGCTTGCAACATTATGTTGCATGACCATGAGTTACGTAATGTCTTGTGCAACAAATATCCTCTCTACAAGGGACACTTGTTTCAACCCCATGGTCTGAGATAGGGACAACCTCTCTACAAGGACACTTGATTCAACCCCATGCTAATACTTTAGTGTGTTATTTGACCTCCGAGATAGGGACGACCTCTCTACAAGGGACAAAATTGTTGGCCCCATAGTGTCCCTGTTCGGAGGCTCCACTGTCTATACGCCTCACACAATACATCAGTCGTTCTGATATCCCTCCAGCCACAGGCCAGACTCTGCGCTGCGATGTCTTTGTGGACACTGTCCACCGAATAGAGATCACCACTCGAACGAGGGAACTGCTGTTGGAGGAGGAGCCCGAGAGGTTTGAGATCCTCGGATTTGACAACGAAGGCAAGGAGATACACTGTGCACATGTACAGTGTAAAACCCCAGATAATCGCTGCTGTGTATTATTTGAGATTTAAAAACCCCACCCCATTCAGCAATGAATTAAGGGGGTTACAGCATAACTTGAAGTATAGAACACTATCAAGATTTGTGAAAATGCCATGTAAGATACTGTATGTTTTCTTAACTTTAGCAGTCATTACTCAAGTAACATTTAAATTGTGCAAAGCAAAGGGCAATTTAAAGGGAATGTTGCAGTAAGGGCATACTCTCTAATTACACCTTTGCACTATTGCCCTATTGTACTGCCTTAAATGCAACATAATGTAAGTGACCACCAAATTTTCTGTGCGTCACTTTGTCCTCATGTTCTGTTGAGTGTTGCGTGCTTTCTCCCACGTACAGGAAACACTTTCAGTACACTGAGAGGGCACCGATTTGATTGGCTGTTGCTAAGAGACGAGGAAGCCACACACCAGACCTCGGAGCCCGAGGCAATCCTTCATTTTGTGAGATTCGACGACTCGTCATACGAGACAGACCCTATCATTGGTGCTCTGGAGGCCAGAGGTTACTATGGAGACACGGTTCTGGTGGAGGGAGTCAGTACGGGCACTGCCAAAGTCAGCGTACGGTTCGTGGACCGAGTCTGGAAGGTATGGGAATGGGGACTAGTCTGGAAGGTATGGGAATGGGGACTAGTATGGAAGGTATGGGAATGGGAACTAGTCTGGAAGGTATGGAATGGGGACTAGTCTGGAAGGTATGGGAATGGGGGAGTGGAAGAATGGAGTATTGAGAATAGGGGCAAGGTAGACCAAATCTGGAAGATACAGTGGAACCTCTGATAAGGGACCCTCCGAGATAGGGACGACCTCTCTACAAAGGACACTTGTTTCAACCCCATGCTAATACTTAGCGTATTATTTGACCTCCGAGATGGGGACAACCTCTCTACAAGGGACAAAAATCGTTTGCTCCATAGTGTCCCTGTTCGGAGGTTAAATTGTAGTTTGTTATCCTCATCTAGGACTCGGTGGCTCCAGCTACGGTGAAGCTGCTGGTGATTGAGAACATAATGCTGCAGCCGGCCATGGACGTGTACATCCTCCCATACTGCATCGTTCACTATACCGTGGAGAGGAAGAAACAAGTGAGAGAGAGAGTGAGAGAGAGAGGGGAGAAGTGAGAGAGAGAGGGGAGAGGGAGAGGAAGAAACAAGTGAGAGAGAGAGTGAGAGAGAGAGGGAGGGAGAGGAAGAAACAAGTGAGAGAGAGAGTGAGAGAGAGAGGGGAGAGTGAGAGAGAGAGAGGAGAGGGAGAGGAAGAAACAAGTGAGAGAGAGAGTGAGAGAGAGAGGGGGGGAGAGGAAGAAACAAGTGAGAGAGAGAGGGGAGAGGGGAGAGGGAGAGAGTTGGTGGCTGTGGAATAGGGATGGAGTGTGTGCCTAAGCTGTTACAACTGATTGTGTTGCTGGTCGCCAAGGTTGAATCTGTGTCTTTATGCCTATAATCCATGGTTGACAACTTTAAAGGTAACGTGTGAGTACACATGGCTGAATTTAGAAATGTTACTAAAGATAGAACTAAACAAATAGGGCCCAGTGCATGAATGCGGTTTTCAGTAACAGTTTAGCGCTTACACACTGCCACATATCCTTTAAAAAAAGATAAACTGCCTGGGTTAAACCTGAACACTTTTTTCCTGTGGAATACACCACGGTATAAAATGAGTCAGACAACCAAACCAACTCTTACTGTGCATGTGCATGTGCATGTGCACTGAGTACATGTGTAAATCAAATGAAAATTTAAGGGTGTGATGGAGTAGAGAAAGTATTATGAAAGTAGTTAAGAAAAAGGCACAAGGGAGTCAGGAGCAAGAGGGTGCAGCAATAAGTGTTGATGTTGCGTGCTGCTGCAGGGAAAGACGGAGGTTGTGGTGATGCCCTCTGACCAGTATTCCCTGGAACTGACAAACACGACCGTAGCCTCTCTGGACACGCCCTCCTCCAATGTTACTGGACTAGTGGTGGGAGACACTGAAGTGGTCCTACAGGATAAGAGTATCCTTTACACATTCTCTCTTGACCTGGTAGATGGAATTGTACTATACATACGTTGGTCATGGGGAAAGGGACGCAACAAACTTTTGTCTGAGAGTCAACTTTTCCTCTCCTGATATGTGTGTTTCTGCCTTTTTTTCTCTGTTAGAATCCATAGGGTTTTAACTAGTAGCAAAGCTAGCCCACTGATTGATTGTACACTGGAACTCCTCTGTTCATAAACCAGTGAAACAGAAGAAGAAAGTGTCCATATTAGTGAGGTGTCCTTGTGAAAGAAACTGTTCTTGGAAAAAACGGTGTCCTTATTACAGAGGTTTCTTCATTAAACCTTGATGTGCATGAGCGCATTTTTCTTTGACTGTTTTGTCAGATATGTTGCACACTCCGTCAGCGACCAAACCAAGTGCTGGTGTACATGTTGTTCCTCCTCATCACCTAGGTAACGCCACCAGCACACCACTCCATCTTTATCTACATACACTTACTATTCTCGTTGGTTCTTAATTTGACACTAAGTTTTGAGTCACGAAATTGCTGGTCAGTATTTTCCACTATTCTCTTAAATGAAGTAACAAGGCTCTCATATACGTTACTGTGTAGTTAGTGGTTTTGGAGAGTGAACGTTTTGTTTTTATTGTGCCGAAATGATAAAGTACTTATTGTATGGCCTACAGGTATGATGAATGCATGGAGTCTTGTAGTGTTTTTTTCCGCTCTTTTTTGTGAGAGCATAAAAGTTGGCACCCAAAATAACCCATGCGCTCTTTCTCTGTCGACCTCCTCCTCCCCCTCCCCCCCTCCCCTCCTTTTCTCGCAGGCTACACCATCTCCCCTGACAACATATGGGTTCTGGAGGTGGGCCGGCAGTACCAGATCACAGTTCACGTGTTTGACAAGTTTAACCATCCCATTCTAGTCACCCAGGTAAACCCTGCATCCCATTCTAGTCACCCAGGTAAACCCTGCACCCCATTCTAGTCACCCAGGTAAACCCTGCACCCCATTCTAGTCACCCAGGTAAACCCTGCACCCCATTCTAGTCACCCAGGTAAACACTGGTCTAGAGGACCAGAATTTTTAGAGCCACTTGAGAAAGTTTCTCCGTGGTTTTGTATGAGTAGAAGGCCCAATGTCCAATTGACCGGGTCCGCTTGCTCTGTGTATCTTGGAGGCTGAAGAAGTCACAATGAAGGACATGTATCGACTCCCGCATGCTACCTACTAGTGTACCTAGCCCGTGTCAGACTCTCCGCGAGCTACTAGCGGGAGACCGCGGCACCGTAGCCCAGCCCATCAATTAGTGGTACCGCTCATGCGTATTGGTTCGATGTTTCTAGTGCACCGAGGGATATTGTGCTTTAGTGGTTTTCATTTGAGGACCAGAGCTTTTTGAGCTATCCTTGTGAATGTTACTCCACAGTTTTGTTTGGGTATGAGAGGCCCAATGTAAAGTCACGCAGCCATTTGCATTGACCGTCCCATCATAACCATACATTTACGTTGCATGAGACTTACGACTTTTGACCCACACAACAAAGTGTGTAGTGTGTGTTGGCCTCTATTGTCTACATGTCGGTGTTTCCGATCTGTAGAATGTGGTGATGAAGACCGTCCTCCCGACGTCACACCTCGACCCCCTCTCCTCTTCACAAAACGGGTCGTACCACTTTGTTACCGCGGAGAACGTCGGCAAGGCAACCATACATGCCACACTCAACGCAGTCAAAGTGAGTGTTGGATATAATACATACTCCAGCAATTAACTAGGTGTTCAGGGTACAAATCTAGCCCATGTTGTTGTTGCAATTTTAAAGGTGCTTTTTAACCCTCGGCGCGCATGCGCAGCGAGGGTTACGGTAGTTGTTCCGTAAGTGTGTCAGTCAGTCAGTCAGTCTGTCTGTTACCACGTTTTCTGCCACCACGCGCAAGAAATCGGCCAAAGAGTGATAGTTCAGTGCTACACTGGCTTCATTTAAAAAAAGGTGATTTTCGTAAAACTACTGTGTTCTAAAGTTATGGTGTGAAAACCAAGTGAACAAGCCAATATGTAAATTAGCACAGGCTTACCTCGACCGGGTCCGCTTGCTCTGTGTACTTTGGAGGCACAAGAAGCCACAACGAAGGCCGTGTATCGACTCCTGCATGCTATCTACTACTGTAGCTAGCCCGTGTCAGACTCTCCGCGAGCTACTAGCGAGTAGACGTATACTATATAATAGGCCCAGCCCATCAATTAGCCGTACCGCGCATGCGCAATTCGCCGAGGGTTTGCACTTTAGTGCTTTTCATTAACCCTCGGCGCGCATGCGCAGCGAGGGTTGCAGTACTTGGGTCTGTCTGTCTGTGTGTGTGTGTGTGTGTGTGTCTGTTACTCTACATCTCACTTGTTTGTTCGTCTCACAAAGGATACGACCTACTCTAACGGGCAAAAAATGAAAAGGTCAGAAAGTCTAACGGTTTTCTCTGAAACTGCTCCGTTGCAACTAGAGCACGAAAAAAAGCCAATATGCAAATACACAACGGACGGGATGGCTCGGATCGATACGCGTGCTCCTGCGTACCCTCGGAGAACCAGAAAAGAAGCAACGCAGGGCGGTATCCCCTCTCGCATGCTATCTAGTATGTAGTTTGCACGCGTCAGAACTCTGCGCGAGCTGGCCAAGAGACCACGAGTAACAGCTAAAACTAAACCCAGCCATCAATTAGTAATTATGGTACGGCTCATGCGTTTACTACGCGTGCCCGTCACATGCGATGAGGTTTTGCACTCAGGCTTTCATTTAAAATAGCCTTGATGATTTCCACAAAGCCTACAATTTTGCTGTTACTGTAAAAAATAGCGTTTTTCATAAAGGCAGATACGTAGACAAGCACTAAGTATGGTAGTACTAGTGTATAGGGGGGACAAGGACACAGGGTATCCAGCATCATGTCCATACATCTGTGAGTTCCATGCAAACCCCAAGTTTGGCACCATACAGTATGCTATTACACGTATTTGTGAGTTCTGGTGTTCTGGTACCAGTAGATATCCAGATGGTCACTCCACAAGCTTTCTTGACGGCAAACTGGTCTCCAGGAACAGTCGTTGGAGATCTACGAACCAATCAGATTGCTGCCTGAGCTGCTGGTCATCCTCTGGGACCCAGCCACAGAGTTCCACTACCAACATTTGATGCAGGTCACCTCTTCTCTCCACTGTTCTCTCTGTGCATGTCTCTGTGCTCTCTCTCCCTCTCCCTCCGCCTCCTTCCCTCTCCACCCCTCCCTCCACTCCCTCGCGCTCGCT